TTGAAATTGGTGGTTTAGCGTGACAGGGATTCTGGCCAGTGAACGTGGTCTGGCCGTTGGCCCTCGCAAGGATGATTATCAACTCGTTCATCTTAATCCTGGCCTGGGAGTCAGAATTTTCCACACCGGCGCACACTAGTGGCCTTGTAGCATAAGGTCCGAGTAACCTGCGACATTCCAAGTCCACCCCCAAATTAATCCCCCTAACAGTGAATGTCACCCTGATTGTGTTGCGAGGGGGAATAAATCATGGCCGCAACATCTCTCCCATGAAAAAAACCCGAATCTTCTCCTCCTGTTCGTCCTGTCCACCGTGGTAAGTGACCTGTCCCAAACACTTCCTTCGTGCCTTAATATCCATCGGTTATATGTCCGAGGTCTATCATTCAACCCAATCGCAATCGCTCATGCACGGATCAATTGCTCTATCACATGGACTAACCCGATTCATCCGATCCTTTGGTAGAGTCGTCTCATGGTGAAACCCATTCACAATGGCATCGTATGAATTGAAAAACCAAGTATCCGCCAATAACGAGGTCCGCATCTCGGGTGGCTATTCGACAAAGGATCGCGACAATGCTGAGCTCGCGCGCCTGGGAAAGAAACCGGTTCTAAAGGTGTGTCTGCAGCTTCAGAAAGGCAAAAATGCTCTGGAAAGTATACTAACGATCGCTTCCGATCGCTAGCGAAACTTCGGGATCTTGTCGAGTCTCGGCTTCAGCTGTACCATCCTCGCCACCTGGGAGGGTCTTTTTGGGTAAGTCTCGTGTCTCCTGCACAACAGATGGTGAATACTAACGCGCGTACTCTAGTACCTTCCTCATCCCTCTACAAAAGTTCGTACCTCCTTCATTCCTCGGTCCGTTGGTATTGAGCGCGATATACTAAGATGATATCAGTGGAGGACCAGCGGGCGCGGTCTACTCGTTCATCTTCGCGTGGACGGGAACAGCATGTTCCTTCACAGTGCTTTCGGAGCTGGCTTCGATGTGAGTCAGAATCACTTGGAGTCAGTTGCGTTAGGGAGTAAGACGCTGATGATTTGTAGGGCACCAACGTCCGGAGGGCAATACCACTGGTGCGCAATGCTTTCCCCACCGAGGGTCATGAAATGTCTGAGTTACATCACCGGTAAGTGTCGCATCCTTTCTGCATCGATAACACTCACAAAGGCTGATTGTCAATTTACAAAGGTTGGGTCACCACCATTGGTTGGATGTCTGCTTTTACCAGTGCCAGCTTCTTGGCCGGGACGGAAATTCAGGGCGTCGTGACCCTTGCGCATGAACACTATGATCCCAAGCCATGGCAAGGCACCCTGATCATGTGGGCAGCGATTTGTTTAGCCCTGGCAATCAACATCGTCGGCGGAAAGTTGCTTCCTAGATTTGAGACACTTGTCCTGGTCGTTCATATCCTGGGATATTTTGCGATCCTGATCCCGTTGACGTACATGGCCGACCACAAGTCTAAAAACGAGGTCTTCAAGGAGTTCGTGAACAGCGGCGGTTTTCCCACGGACGGGCTAGCGTTTTTCGTCGGAATGACTGGGTGTGTTTTTGCCTTCGCGGGTGGTGATGCAGCGGTCCACGTATGTCCTTGAGTGTTTTGGAGTGGAAATAGGAAGGCTAACGATGGCAGATGGCTGAAGAAGTCGCGAATGCCACGGTCGCGATCCCCCGCGCGGTTCTTCTCAGTGTTCTGATCAACGGCACTCTTGGGTTTACCATGTTAATCGCCACTCTGTTCTGCATGGGGGACATCGACAAGGCCCTCAACACACCCACCGGGTATCCCTTCATTGAAATCTTCTACCAGGCCACTGACTCCGTTTCGGGGGCGCTTGGCATGAGTTCGGTCCTGCTCATCATTGCCGTCTGCTCAGTCATTGGTATGCTGGCGGCCACCTCGCGACAGTTTTGGTCGTTTGCCAGAGATCGTGCGGTACCCGGCTGGCGCTTGTGGAGTAAGGTGTGTTTGATACCGACAAATCAATCGCCTCGACGATCCACCCACGCTGACCTTTGCTCTGAATAGGTTTCGTCGAGGACATACACTCCGACCTATTCCATCCTGCTCACCATGACCGTCGCATGTCTGCTGGGCCTCGTCAACATTGGATCCGATGTTGCCCTGAACGGTATCATCTCCATGGCGGTCTCCGGCATTTATCTTTCCTACCTGATCGTCGCCTCCCTTCTCCTCTACCGTCGTTGCACCGGCCAGATTTCTCTGTACAACGACGGGGAGGACGTGCTAGTCAACGTCCCGGGCGCGAAGCTGATGTGGGGACCCTTCCACGTCCGAGGCATCTTCGGTACCCTAATCAATGGCTACGCCGTCATCTACATGACCATTGTAGTGTTTTTCAGCTTCTGGCCCACCCAGATGTCCGTCGACAAGACAACAATGAACTTCAGTGTGGTCGGCACGATCGGGACGGTTATCCTGGCGTTGATCTACTATGTGTTCCGGGCTCGACATGTGTACACAGGGCCCGTCGTCGAGCTGCATCGGTGATAAGGTTCTTCTCGGAGGACCGGATGTACACAAGTTGCAGTGAAATAACACCTTCGCTGCTTGTCTTAATATGATGCCCAAAACTGATTTCCAGTCTGTCTTACCTGTAGAATGAATCACTCCTATCACGAGATACGAGGAAAACTTCAATATAATACATCTTGTTCGTTAGCTCTTTCCTTTCTCTCTTCCGCTATAATCTCCCTTTTGTGCTCGTGCATGTTTTTTGCTACTTCATACCTCGGCCAGCACCAGTGGGTACAGACCCGTGGTACTTACGATCCGGTATATATATCCGGACTACATTGTACCCTTGTTCCAACAACCTTAGAAGTTAGAGAACTTAATATAATAAGGTAACATTAACCAACGGAATTCAGCCGGATCTGCATACCCCCTGTCAATCAACAAAGGGTGTCCAATGCAAGCTATCTGCGCCGAAGACGCCGGAAAGCAAATACAAAACAAAGCAAACTCTAAAACCTCGTATTTGCATGTGGTTCCAAACATTGCGATCGACATTCATGCACACATGCGACGGAGTACATTGAGCTACAAAACATGACGATCCCCCTCTCGTTCATGCATGCATATAGGTATAATAACGTGCTATCTTTCTCGACCGATTTTCCCCACCAAACTTTGTCAAGTCAAGCAACGAACCATGGAGAACCATAGCGCATCCCTAGTCCAACCACATAATTCACTACACAGAGCACTTAACGAGGAAACGTTATGGCTATCCACTGACGAGAACGGCCGAACGACAGTCCACCTGAGCTCGAGATCTCATCCCCCAAGCTTAATTGCGATTCGACTCCCACCGGGAGTAGAGGAGGGACCCCCGAATAGGACTGCGTGGCTACCGCCGAACTCAGCGGATGATTTCTACCGTCTTGGGTTGGTTAATTTGCTGGTTGGAAGTGGAGCGAAGTTGGGAGTTGCTGATGGCGTGGATGTGGGTATTCGGGGTGCTGATAACGTGTGGAAGGCCATTTCACAGGATGATTATCAGCCGCTCTTGGATCTGCTATTTGGGGGTGATTTCAAGGTCAACAATGAGGATTTTCGCGTGTGGGAATTGCTGAATATGGCATCGGTACATGGCCATGGGGAGATTGTGAGGTTTCTGATCGAGCGAGGTGCTGATGTTGGTGTTTCATGTGAGCATGAGTGGACGCCATTGCATTCCGCGTCGAGCCACGGACACGCGGAGATCGTTAAACTACTTCTTGAGAACGGGGCCGATGCAACTATAGTGGGAGATGACGGGTGGACTCCGCTGGCCTTGGCGTCTAATAAAGGACACGCGCATGTTGTCCGACTACTGCTTGACCAAGGCGCAGTGGTCAGTGTGAACGTTGCGAACGGCTCCGGGGTCACACCGTTGCATATGACCTCTAATCAAGGCCATACGGAGCTCATTCAGCTCCTTCTGGACCACGGGGCCAATGTATCTGCCGTTGATAGTAGGGGCTGGACCGCACTAGATCTGGCATGTTACGGTGGGCATATTGAGATTGTGAGATTACTGATTGATAATGGTGCTGATTTATCTGGGGCCGATGAGAACGGATGTATGCCACTGCATTCTGCCGCCGAGAATGGCCAGCTTGAGGTGGTTGAGCTTCTGTTGGCTCGGGGTGCAGATATGAATGCTGTGGATAATGATGGACGTCCGCCTATTCGTTGTGCTTCGGAGAACGGCCATTGGGAGGTTGTTCGGGTTTTGGTCGAAAAAGGGGCTTGAGGGGTCCACAATGTTCGAGAACAACGCTGCCATTCACGCTTGTGATGATCTCGTGATAATCGTAGGGAACCTTTCTGTCATGGCTTGTTTTTAATTACATCCACGCTCGGTCAGTCTGTGTATCTGTTGTTATTTGCTTGAGCCAGTCAGCAGCCGACTAGTACGATATTTTATCCGATACCATGAAGAACGATGGAGATGCGAGTCTCATGGTGTTCAGTTGAACGGGTTGACTTCAGTTGTCATTCATCGGCTCGACATATTGACAGCATCGTTCAGTGTGTGTCGTCCATCATAGTCCGCGTCAGTCTCGGAAGATATCTGATTATAGTCCGATCTTGATCCGATATGCTGATCGTTTCCGTATCAACCGGCACATATCTCCGTCGGACTGTGATAGTGGATTATTCATTAATACTCATAATTCAGTGAGTACGGAGTCACTGGGCTTACAGCTCCGGGGGAGACGGGCGTCGGAACTGTCCTGACCCCGGCACTAATTTCTGACCCCCCGGGAGCTGTAACCCCGGAGTCACTATCTTCAACCATATGGCTTTTGTTCCTAGAGCTCAGCCATGCAAACACCCGATGAGGCGTTATACTGAGGCGGGACGTGACGAGAGAGGACTAAAGCTGTCTACTGTATCTGTGCATACCGTCTCAACTATGCCAATTGCTGCAGATGCGATTCACTCAATGGAGTGTGGATATATGTTCCCGAAACACCATCTATCAATAATATACAAAATAGATATTTCACAATATACTAAATATTCACGGCTCATCCCCCCTCACGCCCGGAGTGGGATAGCTGGGTCCATACGCAATATGCTCCAAGCGGATAGACTCAGCCGTCTCCCTCCGACTGTGCCGGATGATCTCCTGCGTACTCGATTGGTGCGAGTGGAGCCGGCCCACATTTTCCGGCAGTGAAACGGTCGACTTATTATCGGCCGCGACGTTGGTAGCAGCCTGTTCGGCAGCCAGGGCCGCTTTGCAGCGATGCCACATGGCAAAGGGCACGATAGCGACACAGGCGATCCACCACGAGAACATGATCGGGAGGGCGCGATGCAGCTGGTCCTCGCATCCGTCGCTCCAGATCTGGACGAGGACCTGGTATAGCTCGTGCGCGGGGAGGGCATACCCCCAGCGATAGAACCCGGGGCTCAGTTCGAAGGGACTGATCGTACTGGCGACGTTGATTATGGCCCAGGTTAGGATGCAGAAGGGGAGGAATTGCATGGGGATAAACGCGGTGAGGATGTCGACGATGAGGAAGTTGATATGCATGTACAGCCAGATACTCATCCAGGAGAGCACGAACTGATTGCTATTGACGTCCCAGGACTCTCTGTACGCCCAGATATATCCGGCCATGCATAGCGATCCGATGAAGGTGTAGGCGAGAGAGACGCACATGCGGAGGAGGCCGTTGCGTTTCGGGCCGAGTTTGGTGTAGAGGTGGAATTGCGCCGAGATGCCGTTCAGGGCCATCATGAAGAAGAATTGTTGGATGATCGGCATCACCATCGAGACGGTGTTGTATAATACTCGACCGCCTTGATTGGTTGCCTTGATGTTGATTTCGGTGGCTTGGATGGGGTTGAGGAAGGCTTGCAGGCTTGCCGGGTTCTTCGACAGCGGTGCTGTGGCGAGGACGTTCGATGCATTGCGGGCGTAGTAGGCCGACTTGGTTACTTGTACCAGGCTCATGATGCTGGCGTAGATGGCACTCTGTGAAAAGGCTGGGTAACGTGCGCCGTTCCAGATGTACGTGAGGGAAGTTCGGTTGCCGTTGCCCGTGGCCAAGGCAGCAGATAGGTTCGCCGAGGCCCCGGGATGGGCATACACTGCGCCCCAATAGTCGCCTTTACAAACAGCAGTCTTGACGTCTTTTGGAGTCGGATATTCGCTGGCGGGTGATTGTATAAGTGAAGGGAATTCGTTACTGCGCAGTATGCCGTACGCATCGACCACCGACTGACCGACCACGTCTCCGTCGTAGTCGACGTACAGCATCTTCAAGCTGTGGAACCGGGTGCTGTCGCGATACTGGGTCCCATATAGGTAGCACATATTACACAGGAACAGCAGCTGTAAGAGGGCAAAACTGATGCCCAGGGCGATCAGGAAGTTCTTGCGCATGTCTTTGAAGGATCCTCCCGCTGGGGAGGGTGCAGGCGCTGCCATAGCGGAGGATTGTATGCACAATTACTTTGCAAGTCCAGGTCGATCAGGAGTGCGCTATTTATTTGTTCTGGAAGCTTTTTTATCCCCATCTCCCCTTTACTCTTTAGCGTTCTGTAGCTCTAAAGTTAGGGTCCGATCTATTACATCGGTTTTTGGGCCGACATAGGGTTCCGCTGAGCATGGACAGGGCCAACCAATGAGAGATGCGAAATTGCATGACTAAGCGGAAAAGACGCCCTCGTAAAAAAGCCGCATCCGGGTCACAGTTGAACGGGGTTCAAAAAAATCTCGGTGGTGCTCAAAATTCTGCCACTGCCACCGTCTCTAAACCCGTTCAAGTTTTTCCGTGTATAGGCTTACTGGGGGTTAAACTTATATTTTCAAATCCCGTATAATAGATATAAAGCCTTGGTAAATAAAATTATATCATATTAATTTTATATACCGTATATATTAGATAGTAAAGGATATATTATCTATTTTTATTTATTAAATTTTACAAAATTTTAAATTGGGTAAAAAATAGTCTAAACGGGGCTTAAAAATACTCTGTATATGTTGAATGGGGTTCAAAATTTCTGGGATTCTGCCACCACCTCTTGAACCCCGTTCAGGTTTTTCCGGGTTCCGTGTTGAGCACTGCCAAGCTTTTTTTGAACCCTGTTCAACTGTGTGCCCAGGGGCATCTCAAATGGTGATGCTAATAGTAGTGGCTGATCGTGGATCTCCACAGTCTTCCGACGCCCCGAATACCGAACCAAATCTATCTCCGTAGCCTCGGGCCGTCAACCAACTTTTAAACCCTCGGTAAGCACAATCGGATGCTATAGATACCCCCTTTTATATCTCAAGGTTCGGTAGGAATGCTCCCGGTTAGGGTTTCGAAGTAGTGGGTCTGAATCTGAACTCTACTATCAGCATTAGCTATTGTATGTACTCCGTACATTTACTGTCATCATCATCATTGACCAGGTCAGAGCTGTTCAACGATGTATACACTGTTCTACAATCTAGGCGATATCTCGAAAGAAGCAACCCAAATAGTATGCCAGTGATGACAGTAGAGACTACGTAGATAGCAGGCTGCTTCTCACTTTTCTCCCACTCCTATCAGAGCCCTATTGTATAGCCTCAGAGGCCTTTATGCCCTCTGCAAAGAATGGGGCGGGCAATGCTACTATATGTAATTGAAAATGTGGCGGATATAAACCCCGAGACTGCCGTTCGGCGACTGAGTTGTCTATGCACCAGGGGTAGGGTATACTGCACAGTCATCCGGCGGTTGCGCCATGTTATCTGTGATACCAGTATTAGCCTATACATGTTGGCTGCAATGTTGGGTCGTTGAGGATGTTCGTTAAAGTATTCTGCAACGCGAACCACGCATTATGGCCGTCGAAGGAACCCTCAGAAAGATGGCTCATCAGAGAAGGCTGCTGTTTCACCATCATGGAAATTAGACCTCGAAGAACTGCGGTGGAATTATTAAGGGTTTCCACGGTAGCTTGACAAAAGAAGAACGCAATGTTGTTGTCAGGTGCAGCTAGCTGTGGGAGCTCATCGATGATTCCACAGAGCAACATCGTTTTTCCCTTACCAGGGTCCCCTTTGATCCAAAGTAGTTCTCCAGAGCTGGCATCCAACCACCTCTTGAAGTCTTGGTTTTCAATCACCCAATGATACGAATCCTTGAGGAGGCCCCCCTTAAACTTCTCGATGCGTTGTTTATCGAGCTGAGGATCCGTGGCTTTTAGTGTGTTGAGACAATCGCGATCCTCGACATCAGACATGTGTTTCTCCATCTTTCGTGTGGAATCGACAACATCTTCAAGGGCTTTGCGTGATTGCTCAGCTTCTCGTTTGAGGTCATTAAGTGTCTGCACATTCAACCCGGATAGAGCCCCCTGAAATCGCATTGTGAGTGTTTTCTCCTTCTCTTTGATTGTGTTAAGCTGTTCGCTCCAACCGTCCCAGTCGGTCACACTCCGAAAGTAGTCCTTTCCGGGTTTGCGATGGAATCTCATCACACTCTGCACCTGGTAGTCAACGGGGATGGCAGCAATGACAAAATGTCCGAATATACTTTGACAGCTCTTCAACTGGCAAGCGCGTATGGACATGATCTCACCGTCCGCTTGCTGCTAGACAACGGGGCTAACCCAAAGCTTGCGAGTGACAAGACAGAGTCTCCCCTGTGCCTAGCCCTCTTCCGCCAACACGTGAGCGTCATCCGAACCCTCCTCAAGACCGAAGTACTGGACATTGAAATCCAGTACTTTCTGCACACAGCAGTCCAGGTAGATGACACAGACATAGTGAAGCTGCTCCTCGAAATTGGCGGATTCGTCGCCGTCGAGCAGTCCTTGTTCTACGCCTTGCTTACTATCACTAGTGACAGTGATATTAAAGATAAGATAATACCATCTCTTCTTAAGCAAGGAGTACCACACAACTGAACGATCGAGGAATTCACTGCACTTCATATTACTGCAATCAGGAGACATATCCAGTCTGACAAGGTTGTGTTAAGCCATAGAGCAGATATTAATACCACAAACGAGCAAGGAAGAACTACTGTCCATTTGACCGCTTCCTGTAGACGGTTAGATGTGCTTTAGCTATTCCAAAACCTCGGCCTTTTGAGCCCATCAATACTGGAGCAGCGGGATGAAGCAGGGAACACGGCCCTTCACTCCGTGATAGAGAAAACCATTGATCTTCCCACTTGCGTAGTTGTGGAAAAGAGTACCGAAGATGAACAGTTGCAGTTGATTAAGCTTTTCCTGCTTATCTCGCTATTCTTACGCTGACTATATTTTAGAGCTTTCTCGCTCCATTATGCCTATTGAGTAACTTCATTATACATTTACATTGATTTTCGTTTCCATTTATTTAACTTCGGCATTTTGGGGACATGGCCCAGCTGGAGAAACTTCCAAGAAAGTTTGCGTTTGCTTCTAAGACATCTTGCATATTTGCCGGCCGCCTGTCTTGACATGAGCGATTGTCGAATCAGGTAGTTAAAGCTGGCTATGACTATACGAACTGCCTTGGCGTCCGGTCCGTGCTCTGCTGATGAGACAGTGGCGGCAAAGCTGACGGACACGTCTGGCTCCCTGGTTGGTTAGTTTCCTTATCTGGCGTCATATTCTATGCCGTTGTCACTGTGAGGCCAGACATTGGCACGGCTGAGATCCCGCAATGGTGACTGGGGACTGGGCGCCTTAAGCAGAGTAACTAATTATATATGGCTGACACCCTGGCTCTCTTCTGTCAGAACCAACCGACGCCTACCTATTCGCCTACCAAAGTACTCTAACGAATGCCAGTTTGAGGACCGTTCAAGTGGAGCGAAACCAAGCGATTAGGTCCAGGAATGATAATGGAAACGCAGAGAGCCGACCTGGCCATAATTGGTGCTGGTAAAGCCGCCCCTCTCATTTCCTCAGACACTTTTATCCCATATGTTCATTAGGGGCTCCTGCAGCTAACTACGATTAAAAAATTGATCGCGACAGGCTGGCACGGTCTCGCAGCCGCCAAAGTAGCACTCGAGCTCGACCCCAGTGTCAATCTGGTGGTTCTGGATTCCGCCGCCTCAGTGGGGGGTGTCTGGGCAGAGGAACGCTTATATGCGGAACTCAGGACGAATAACCGAATGGGATCATATGAGTATGGTGACTTTCCCATGAGGGACAATATTCCCGGTTTAGTTAAACCCGGTGAGCATATGTCAGGCAGGGCGATGCATGAGTATCTCAAAGCATACGCTGACCACTTTGGGATCCGCGACAAAATTAAGCTGAATTGCAAGGTTGACAGCGTGGAATACTGCGACACAGATAATGGAGGGGGAAAAGAGTGGATCATTAAATGCACTACAATAACAACAGAACCAGGACACGAGAAGAGCAATACTATACGGACGCGGAAACTGATACTCGCTACGGGCCTTACCTCGCAGCCGCGTATTCCTACATTCCCTGGCCAGCAATCGTTCGGCGCGCCATTGTTCCACGCAAAAGAATTCGCTCTTTATCAAGACACCCTCTTTAAACCCAGCGATGACAACACAGGCGACCAACATGAAGGCACCCGTGACGACCACACACCAATAACGGTGCTCGGCGGAAGCAAATCGGCGTGGGACACGGTCTACGCCTGCGCATCCAAGGGACACCGCGTCAACTGGGTCATCAGACCCTCTGGGACTGGGCCTGCGTGGGTGAGCCCGGCGGCTGTTTTCTCTCCCCTCAACCTCCTCCTCGAAAGCCTCCCTGTCGTGCGTGCCTTGGGCTGGTTCAGCCCCTGCGCCTGGGTGAGCCACCCGATACGCAACTTCTTACATAGGACGTGGCTTGGCTGTATGATTGTGCGTCTGTTCTGGGCCTCCCTGGAGTGGGATATGGTTCGCGTCAATCGATACAGCGATCATGAGGAGACGGCAAAGCTCAGACCCTGGTTTAACCCTCTCTGGATGGGGACTGCGGTGAGTATTATCAATTTCCCGGGCGATTTGTTTGGATTGATCCGGCGGGGACTGGTGAAGGTGCATATTGCCGATGTTGAGCGGCTGGAGCCATATAGGGTCGTTCTATCCAACGGCGGCGACAGGCTGGACACGAGGGCACTTATCCTGTGCACGGGCTGGAAGGTATCTCCAGGCATTCGGTTCTTGCCGGATGGGACTGAACAAGAGATGGGCTTCCCGTGGGCTGCGGACCCAATTGATCAGGAGCTCGTTAGGCAGGCCCGCAAAGACATATACACGCGTCTGCCCATGCTCCACACCGGCCCAGAGAGGAGGACCTACGGCACGAAGGATGGGGAGGGTCAAATACACACTAATGAAACCGTTCTGCACCCCTTTCGTCTCGCGCGCTTCATTGTTCCCCCAGGACTATGGGACGACCATAGCATCGCCTTCCTAGGGACCGTAACAACGTTCAACACATCCATTGTTGCCGAAGTGCAAGGCCTGTGGGCCATAGCTTACCTTAACCACGGCTCCAAGCTTCATCATAATCCAGACAAGGAGTCAATACTTAGCGAGACAGCACTGCACACAGAGTTTTGTGCGCTGCGCTCCCCGGCGGGCCATGGGGTGCGGACTGCCGACTTTGTGTTTGAGGTCATGCCGTATTTGGATCTCTTGCTTGACGATTTGGGCTTGAGCACTGCTAGGAAGGGGTCGTGGTGGGAAGATTTGTTTGTTCCGCATCGGCCGAGGGATTACGCGGGATTGGTAGAGGAGTGGAAGGTGCGGCGATCTATATCCCAGGAAGGGCGGAAGATAAAGGCTATGTAGGGCTGCAGAGAAGAGTTTGTACCGTTCATGGTAAATACTTTGCTGGATTTTATGACTTACCCAACAGACATCCGTGGGAAATCTTCGACGGAGTCGAAGTGGTTCACGATAGCCTGCCAAGACTCTTGATAAATTTCCTACAATACTTGAAGAGCAAAGAAGGCCCGAAAACAAACCGGTGCAATATTAGCTACAATGGTATTGTCCAAAGCGTAGAGACAGCTGCCGGTCAAAGCCCGACACAAGCAGAAGGCACTGCAAGACTCAGCACGTATATCAGCACTGCCTAGGTAGACCAACCCTGAAATCAGAAATTGACCGCTTCTCCTCCTGACTGGGAGAGAGCTCCCTCTCAGCACCTTACTCGTAATACTCAAGGTGCTGAAGACACTCTGACGGTGTCGCATTCGCCATAGGGATACGAGTGTCTGAATCGATAGTTGTGGGTCGTCGCATCTGATGACGCTGTCTGCCTAGAACAGTTGTATGTTCGTACAGACGCCGTTGAAGCTGTGTACGTGCTTCGTTGTATCTAAAGTTTATTTTCTTGTATTTTATTTTTCTTCGAACTGATCGACATTCCTGGTGTGGTCTTAACTAATTATCAGGATATGTTGACATGACAGCCCCCTTGTATAAGTCCGGATTGTAGTACGATGCCGAAGGCCGGATGACAGAGGTATACCAATAAAGCCTGCTGACTTTGGGCAGAAACAGGGCATCAGGACAAATATAAAGAGAAGGGAGGACACGCATACCATCACTCACATCAATAGGAGGAAATCAAGTTAATGTTGTTACGTAGTAGGAAACTTCCGACAAGGCCGCTCAAGGGACCATTCGAAGCTCCCACTGGATCGGAATTAATTGTCTTTAAGGTCAGTTAGAGTTCTTAATTAGAAATATTTCCATATGAAAGTTATCTGGCTTTAGAATTAATGCTACAATTATTCAAGTTGTTGGAATAAAGTCACATGTATCAGCTCTGTGGATCCGAAATGAGGACTTGTAGAGCTCTTGCGAAGGCAGCCAGGCCTACATTTCCTAGCCCACCCTCAACCAGTCGCAACCAGCACCCTAAGGGCATTAAGTGGCGATGCAAGTAGTGGCTGTTCAGGAATTCCAAGGACCCATCAGGCGAACTCCCGAGGAATACCACTCGCCTCAACCATGCGCACGTATCGCCCTGCGGTCATCGCGCGCAGTCGCTTCCCCCAAATCATCATGGGGATGACGGTCAAATGAGCAATAAGGCCCATGGCCATCATCTGGATATACGCATTACCGTAACCAGAGTGGATTAGCCACGGCTGCACAGCGAAGACAAATGTCATGCCGATCAAGTTGCGGAAGATGTTAATCAGTACTAAGGCCTCTGGTGCCACCGCCCGATAGGAGTCGAGGATATATGTCTGTCTCTTGTTAGCAGCTGCAGGGATATGCTATAAAGTTGGACAACTCGAAGATCGTACCTCTCCAATTATTGAAGATGCAGTAAATCCGAAAGCCATTAACCCCATTCCGAACACAGGACATATCCAATGAACTCCGACTTCCACGCCTTTACCGTACATCACTAACCCGCCCGAGGTAACGACAGCGGTTACGACCAGGAGGACAAGTCTGTGTTCTGGCTCTCGGATGCCGTTGTTGCGGCGCGCCACAACGATGATGAACCAGTCGCTGACGTTTCCTGCGAAGACAGTGCCTAGGATGGAACCAAGAAGCGCGGCAGCGTTGGTGAGGCCTACCTTTTCACCACTCCATAGATACGGTGGGCCGGTGAAGAACTCTGTAATGGATTAGAGACTGGACTTTAGAAGTCTGAAAGCAACAGCAACCTACGAGATTCCGTTGTGAAGATTGCAGCCCACCAGCAAATCGAGATGCCGGTGAACACACCGGCCCAGAGAACGGGCGGAAAGAAGGCGAGTTGGTACGGACGAAGAAAGAGATCGCGCCAGGCTGAGTTGGGGTTCACGCCCCATGAGTGCAGCGGATGAGTCTGCCAGTACGACTTCATCTTAATTGCATTCCCCACATATCCGGATTCGGTACGTTTACTGTCATTCTCTGACGGAGTCTCCGCGGTTCCTGTGCGACGAAGTCCTGCCTGATGTGTGTGGTACGATCTGGGATAGAGCGTTTCTTCCAGGCCGAAGAACAATACCAGTGCCACCGTAGCCTGGCAAATGTCAGTGTAACTTATTAATGGCCACTGAAATACAAGCAAGACACCCACAAAGCCGATCGCAGTGATCCAGAAACACCACCGCCAGCTCAAGTCTACATACACATAACCCGCGACAAGAGGCTGGCAGGGTTAGCCTGAGGATATACCTTTCGGAGGAATTTCCTTACGACAACGAAAGCACCAGCACTGTAAGATAGTGCCCAGTATCCTACTTTGGAACCCATCTGGTGCGCAAAATAAGTGTCCTGTAACGAAATTTGGGGGAGGCCCTCCTTCGGACCGCATCCGAGACCCTGTCGCAGTTAGTTTGAGTTCACATTGAAGGTATATAATCAAAGTATTTCTTACCCAAAACACATTAAATGTTACCCAAACTCCCCAATTAGTTTGTACAGCGCCAATGATACTCCCGACCATGGCGATGAGAAGTCCCATAATATACACCGGGCGACGACCGATCTTCATTGCGACTGGTTGCCAGAAGGCTGCGCCAACGCCGCTGAAGAGAAATAAAATAGCGCTCCTAAGTCATCCCATCACAGTGAGCCACCTGGCTTGCCAAAAGCTCTGAGAAGCACACACCCTGTATTCAAGCCGTCGAACGTTGTGTTCAAATCCGGCGCGAGGCCGTCATAGGCGACACCGTAGAAGTTGATCCTGGGAACAATGAGCTTCAACATCTCGGACAATGTCACAGGCTGTATGAAGGGTCGAATACAAGCCGTTCATGAAGAATGTATATATACATAGTAGGATGAGATGCTGCTTCTTCCGCGCCGGGGACCAGTTCTACCGCCGGTTGGATCAGTCGACATGTTATTTCTGGGAACGATGCTTGCGTACCAAGGGATCATTTGGATCGTCTGAAGGAGGTGGGATGAGGACAATCTCGGTGTGTTTTCCAGTCGCATGCTTCGTAGATTGCTCGTGTGTGTCTGTTGGAAACGGTTACTAGAATCTATCTAACCCCTCTTTGGGACGCTAGCCAATAGAAGGGGGGAAAAAGGACAAGAACAGCCAAAGAAGGACAGATGGGACAGATACAAAGAGGAGAAAGAGCTAACCATCAACCAAGAGAACAGTGCCCGGCACAAATGGAGGCTGCATTGAAGTTGTGTCCGACGCTTCGAGCGTCATGTCGGCTATCGGATATCGCAGACTGCGGGAGGGAATCAAGGGGCTTGACAGCAGTGATCAAGATGCAACGACCTCAGGGATTAGGAGAGAGCGGCAAACCACTTTGAAATGTTCGAGGCTTATTACATATAGACACGATATTACTTGCACTGTTCTAGAACAAGTAGGGGAAGGAAGTATGAGCCCAGGAACATATGCAAGATATTCCAATCACCCACTAGAGACGTTGGAGGTTCAATGGGCGCTGGGTGGTCATCAGGTTTCTGCAACAATAATAAAATATTAAGTCAGTTAGCCTGGAACTACTACTAAGGTGGCAAGAATATATTCAACAGCACCCCAGCCCATGGGAGTTTCGAAGAGAACTCTCCACCGACTGTCATAGACTTGCGGCCGTCCAACAAGCCCTCTTGGCATGACCCTAAAAGTGGTCGGTCACGGCTAAGATTGACTAAAGACGTGCCAAGGCGGAGGGTGTCGTTAGGCTTCCGCCGATATTGTTGTCGCCTCGTGTAGATTAACTTTTAGAGGAGATCCTCTAAAAGGCTCACATATACCTTCGTTTGATTGGCCTGGATTGTACTATGTCTGTGCCTTAAAGAGCATGGCCTTAAGTGAAGAAGCTAGGTAATTCGCAGACCAATTCTAGCCCTATCGGGCATTCTACACAGTATATCATCTTGGCTATTGCTTAGAAGCATGAAGAATGTCTTACTGCCAGGGCCCTTGGCAGGGGTATCATTATTCACCCCTTGCGGACTGTATTAAAGATCGATAGTTCACTACGGAGTACACACTGACCAACGTTGACTGCCAAGTCTGATCTTATTCCCTGGTTTGCACCACCTCGACCGTCCGGAAAATTCCCGACAGAGACTGACTAGTGTGATGTGAAACATGCCTCTGCACCGGGTGCTCCACATCCTCCGTTGTGGCCGTGGCGTGATAATGCCGTTCTTGAATGGGCGATAACTCTAGGCCCCTGTCGAGGGATCTGAATCCTCCTTTTTCATGGTCGGGTTGTGAATGCTGCACGATAGACTCCATGGATTCGTCCATGTGACTCAATCGTGACCGTAACCGCGAGTGATGCGTGTTCGTTGTGCGATGACCGCTGGGGAATGACACGCCTTGTCTGCCGTACGAGTTTGCGAAGGAGCTCAGGCTGAAGAGCTCTCGAAGAAGCGGCCATAGCAGCGGCACATTGGCCACGTAGACGGCCGTGGCGACTTCGGCGACGTACCATCGCTGTCAAGGTTAGTTGGGACAGGTCCCAATCTCAGGTGCTATGGGTGGGAAAAGGGTGGCTGGCGCGTACCAAGAAGTTCGCGGTATATTCTTCCGTGAAGTTAACATATCGATTGAGGATTGCCATGAGGATCTGTGCTGGTGTAAGCTGTAACCGCTCACTAAATCGTTTTCTAATTCTCGCTCATACCACTACCAACCCCAGACTAAACACAGCGCAAAGAATTAGTTTCCTATACTATGTCAATAGTTAGACTCAAGGATAGGTCGAGACTCTCTTGCCGTTTGAGCGGGATTCGCGAACGCAGGACAAGCGGTATTGGAATACACAACATCATCAGGTCCGATGAGATGTTGAACGCACTCGTTGTGATCAAGTGGTCATAATAGGTAGCACATTGCGCTTAGAGTGAATTAGCGACAGGATTGAACCGCTCACGAAGTATACGGGTATACGTACGGTCCTTGGTCGGGACATCCCCTATATTGAATCAGGGGTTAGTCAACGGATCAGTATGCACATAGGAAAAAGTCGACGTACAATACATGGTGATAGGCGGGCCACACCAAACAGTACAGAAGAGAATCTCGACTATAACGAAGGACGCTGCAACGTAAACAGCAAGTACCTTCACTGCTAGGTGTTCTCTCAACCCCAACCTGCAGATCGATATCAATAATGAACAGAGTTATTGTATGCACCGGGCGGAAGACATACGTCAGGCGATTATAAATGATCAGTAAGCAGGCCTTGACTAGCCACAGAGAGACCAATGTGAAATGTTCCAATATGAAGGTCATCTTGCTCCCGTAGATGGCATCCTCACGCTCTTCCTCTGTGAGTGAAAGTGCCTTCTCTGGGGGTATATAGTTACTCCCATGTTGTGCGGTCTCGTTCACGGAGACAACGACTCCGGTAAAGGTAATCTGATACTCCCCAACTCATCGGTTATTATCGGGTTGAGACTTTAGCATACCCTGTTGATGTGGATGAACCTACCAGAATGACCAGCATCAGATAGTCATCCGTTTGCAATTTCTTCCATGATTTCCGGGCTATGCGCCTCGAGGCCCTTTGTCTTGTCACGACCGATGTACCCGGGAGACGAATGCTACACTTACATGCGACACGCAATGAGAATAACGCCTGTCGTTTAAATTTGGTTAGCCGGTGAGACAGGAATAGAGAGATTGGACAATACCAAAGAGATATAGAGTCCATGTTTCAATGGCTAGTGTTCTAGCAAATGGGTCCATTCCTCGAGGATTCTGGTGTTAAATGCCGAGGACGAAGGAGAGCAATGCAACTGTTGAAGAAAGGCCTCCAAGAAATAGGACTATGGCCTATGTTGTGCTTACCCACATAGTGTACATCAAGCACAATGGCAACGCGATTAAGCAGGGCGGGAAATATACGCTCCAGTGCATACTATACTTTTGTTGGTCGGAATGCTCCGAGGAAGTGAGTTAGCTTTTCCAAAGAGGACGCAAACACAGAAAGATCAACATATAGGTGAGGATAAACGAATAATAGGAGACATGTTAATATATTTCAATGGGTCTAGTTTACCTAGTGGACGCTTTTACACAACGGCCAGTTTCGGGAAATTTCTTCAAGTCGAGAATGTCCTCGCCTTCAACCCTACAGTATCAACTGTTGACACTACCTAACAGTGCCAGTGCGGTCGTACTTTGACAGTAATTTGTCTAGTGTTCAACACGGTCTTCTTGGCCATTCTAGAGCATCTGTCGATGTCGAAAGTATTCAAGCTAATAGGAACACGGATCATTAGCGCGCACATACACAGTAAGCAGGAAAGGGTCTTGGATGCTAAAAGGATTCACTCTAATGCAACCACGGTCCACATATGGCTCAACCAGGAGGGAGAAAAAGGGCCCAATGATCCACTTGATCGACTAGAACTTGGTTGCGACGTTGGTCTTCTAGACCCACTACCAGGGGAGAAACCTCGGAAATTTTCAGCTTCGACATTCAAGGGTTGCTTATAACACAGCCATTATTATACTGATTTTCCTCGCTTGCAGGATATATGCACGCCACTCAGCTGGTACCTGGTTTATCGTAATGTTTGACCTTCTGTGGATGGCATGTTCATCCCATATCCCATGGCTGTTAGAGTTAATGAAGCTGGTTATGGTGCTGCCTGTTAGTCTTGGACTTTGTTATCATTTAGAATGTCAGTGTTTGGACCCAGCCACGGAGCAGTTAAGAAGCCATAGTACTTCGGGATCTCTCGCTCAACATCTTCTTAACACGTATATCAACGACCCTCCAAATGCTATGTGAGTCTGATACAATATGCATTCGCCATATAACACAGTAAGCCACGTGGAGCAGATACAATCATATTGCATCAAGTTAAATCGTCTAAGAGACATTAGTAGGAGCAGAATAGATATAGCAAAGCTATAATACTTGAACCGTAATTCGCCTTGTAAAGTCTAAGGTATTCTTCCTCTATTCAGCACTCCATTAATATTTTCCAAATATGTGGTAGGTGTTAAATAGGATTAACGGTATCACCTAGCCTAATAATTCTAGAAAACATATATTGTCGACCAGTACTACTCGTAGTCAATCATTATGTATGAACACCGCTATTCAATTTAGAATATTTATTTGATTGGAATACGTCGCCTCTAAATATATCTGAGCCCCCATAGTTTACAGCAACATAAAATGGTCTGTACACTTCTTCCAAGCTGTCCTCGTTAAAAAGACCAACCTCATCCACAAACTCTACCGTATAGGTTAGCATCGCCATCCAGTAACTTGCGCAATCAGTACCATTGTCACAACAAAGCAGAAGCACCAGATATTCACAGTATCTCGAGGCACTTGGAATTTGAACAAAAGAATGCTCGGAGGCGAAACGCCCACTACCACGACCTAACATTGCTGGAGGAAGCTGAATAACTGATACAGTCAAAATAGGGTAATGCCCAAAGAAGATCAGATCTCCGGTATGGCAATATCGGTGCCTTACTATTAATATAAAGATGTGCGGAGGGACGAGGGCTTGGTCGCGGATTTGTCTATAGACATTCCGCGCTTTCGGTGCAAGAATATAAACCAGCCTCTGAGAGAGTAGAGAAAAATATGTTGACTAACACGTCTGGCACAACGAAAGCAACACCCTCTTCACAATTAGTAGCGGACAAGCACAATATTATTAGAATAACTGACGTCAACAATTGTAGGGACGCCATACACTGACAGTAGATAATTACCCCAAAGAAGATTGGGGACTCCAGCCTTGTCAAGAAGCGAAGACATCAATGCGACAAGGTCATTATCTAAACAGTGGCCACGGAGGTGAAGGTTCACTGGCATGGTTATAGGTACAAAACATAGTACTCTGCATAGAGCAAGATCGCGGAACCATGGAGAAGGGCAAGGGCGGCTTTTTAAGCAAACACTCCTCCCCACACGTGACTATTGAGAAATGGACTGGCGTACTGACAGGCTGGAAAGCCACGCTGGATTTTCAAGCCCTATTTGGATGTGGAAAGTGGTCAAGAAGAGAGCAGGGGGGTTGAACGATTCAGACAGGCCACGGAAGAGACATATACTACTGCTGATTCTCATTGTCAGGCTATCCAACTGATAACAAAGTGCGGGATTATAAATACAGCTATAATCAGTATTGTTCAATCACGATTACAGCCACACGAGCTACAACCTGAGCAACTTGAAAATCGTTCTTAGTAGTAATTATGATAACTTGTTAAAGTATATACTAGGGATATGCTAGCTACACTTGGGAAGGGGAACGACTCCACAATATAACAACCCAAATTCCTCTCCCATCTGATTATAGATACATATAGGAAAATCAGACCATAGTCCCCTACGCAATTCTCCTCTTCTTCCAGCTTCAGTAGAGTCGAAAGGTGCCCCAGAATCACGCATATTTGAGTACGCCCTAATCTCACCTCAACTAGACAGGAACGCGATTAGAACAATCATAGATAGAGGATTCAACTAAGCCCTATCGGCCCTAGGTTAGCTTAGTGTCACTGGCAAGGTAGAGCATTTATCAAGCTATAGCTTTTTGCCCCGGAAGCCTCGGTACCATGCTAGAAACTTGTATCCCGCGGCAGAAGGACTGAAGTCGGCAGAATAAACGGCTCAACTGTTACTACTTGACGCCGAATGAATTGCAATATGCCCCTTGGTGTATCAAAGGTAAATGACTGAGATTCGGGGGGAGCGTCGAGGTGCCGCTTATAGTCAATTTGCCTGGTCTATTAATTTCCACAAGAGGAAGGTCGACGCGCCAGCCGAAACTAGCTCGATGATCCTCCTAGTAGATTCTCAAATGCCATTCGTTGCCTTGATGCATTGCTCCGATCCCTCCACTGAGTGGCACATAAACTTACGACGGCATGTAAAGTCGGGAATGAATTCTTTGATTGAGATGGTTCAAGGCGAGCACAAATTGATGTATAAATAATGGTCATCTTGTAAACCCTACCATAAGATGAGTAGGAACACTCACGACTTACATGAGAATCTTCGAGCTGGCGCCGAAATATCGAGCATTATTGGACCCTATAGTGAGCCCTGTAGGCTGGAAAATGCCTTCCATATCCCTTTCGGCCATAATGGCCTGCTTAATATCTATTGTTGGTTCAACCACCGTGGCTCCGACCTACAGCTTTCCCGACAATTGCAATGCTACTTGCCAAGCGAGTATCGCGCAAGCTCTCGCACAGGAAAAGGCGGCCTGGGTCAGCCCTAATGTATCAACCGATCCCTTCTACGCGAATCCCGCAAACATCTCTGATTACGCCGCCGGCGACATCGTCAGATGGGAAGACGTACCTAGCCAGGAGTACACGACAGTTGGCTATGATACTCCTCCGGCAACGACACTGTCCAGATTCCTCTACATGAGTGAGGACATCGACGGCAAACCCATACCAGCCAGTGCATTCCTGTTACTGCCCTTTACAAACCAGGATGGCAGCGGGAAACCACTCCGAACGGTTGTCTGGACGCATGGAACGGCGGGCATTACCCGACAATGCGCACCCTCTAATCACAAGGAACTTTACTACGAATGGGAAGGCCCATTTGCATTGGTCCAGCAGGGATATGCGGTCATTGCGCCCGACTATGCGGGTCAGGGTAGTGATATACCCATGGGGTTCATGTATGAATCCGGTGCGCTACACGCCCTCGACGTGAGCTTTGCCCTGCAAGCTGTGAGATCGAAGCTCCAGGATCGGATCACGCATGAATGGGTAGTGGTTGGCCACAGCGAGGGCGGGATGACCGCATGGCGAGTTAATGAACGCGAAAAGCGAAACGCAACGGGGGGTTTCCTGGGCGCCGTTTCAGGAGCCCCGGCGCTGCGCCCACTCTCTCTTATCCCACAATCGTGGCGCCTCGCTGGGGATGGCCCTGTTCATGACGTTGTTTCCATCTTTGTCCTGCAGTCCATCTCGCGATTATTCCCTTCCGTCAAGGTCGAGAACTATGTCAGCGATATCGTCGCAAGCCGTATCCCAATCGCGCAGCAAGGATGTTTGCAAACTGGATCAGCGATCTATGGGAACCTCACATTGCCGGAACTGTACAAGAATACCAGCTGGATTCACCATCCGGATGTCATTGAGTGGCAAAAGAGGTACAATGGCGCCGGCCCACACGAATTGGCAGCCCCCATGCTGGTCCTTCAGGGGACTGCTGATGAGTTGGTGTATGCAAACTTGACAGAGTGGGATTACGATCAGACGTGCAGCACATTCCCTAGTAGCATCATGCACCTGTATATTTATCCCGACCTTAATCACGACTTTGCCTTCATTGCTGGCCAGGCGCAGTACTTGCCTTGGATACGTGACCGGTTCGAGAATGTCCCATTGTCTGCCGCATGTAACAAGACGACTGTAACGCTGTCTGGGCCTGTTTAAGGTTCGTCTGGTGGTCGGTGGGTGGAGGTAGCGTTCCTTGTATTTATTCTACATACTTATGAAATAAAGAAAGAAGGACTCTCCGGCGATGTGGCACTGGTACTGAAAATAGTTGTAAAGGCGACTCTCAGCCTCTATGCTGGTGTACTCAGTAGTGATATCGCGTAGTGGGATGGTCCTGGCCTTTGACCTTTTCCCGAGGACAAGATCTTGAGCAACCCGTATAATAAATAGCGGGTTTCTGTAGGCTGGAAGAGTCAGACAAGTTCGCTATTTCTTCATAGGCTGTATAAACCGGTGGGACCGACTGGTGGATTGTATCATCGTCGGGTTATCGAGTTCTGGATTATGGGTGGTGTGACCGTATAGTATTGAAAAATAATACGAGGCCTTCCATGGAACAGAGGTTTACGACAAATATAATAGGTTAATGATTAAGAGATATGCTGTTCAACACTCCAGGTCCTTTGGCTCATCTATTTGAGCTTTCCATCTGCAATATATACTCGGCCTACGCATACATTCCACAAACCCATGCCGTGGCGAGGCGTATATATCACTGAATATTGCTATCCTATAATTCTCTGCCTTCCATAAGTTACACCAGACGAGGTGTTCTCATCATATTCAACTTTCCCATTACACATACATTCCTTAAGTAGTTCATAGATAAGAATTATATATCCACCATCACCCTTAGTAAAACAATCAACTCTTACATTTACATTCACCCCTCATGCCAGGCGACTGCTCCACCGCGCATTCCACATGCTGATATTCCTCATCTATCTCCATCAACCGTCCCTGCTTCACCGCCTCCTCGTCAATCACGAAGGTCGCGAAGAACTTAGCCGGTTCGGTGTCACTGGCATTGGCGTTGACTCTATGATGGCATCCGGGCCTCTCAAACCACTGCCCGCCCTTGCTAATGGTCTCCTGTGGCTCATCGTTCATCTTGTTGTAGATCGTTCCCTCGAGGATGTAGCCGGACACCGTCGCCCCGCCGTGGCGATGGGGTGGCAGTGCGGTGCCGGGGCCAAGCTCCGCAATGAGCCCGATGATGCATTTGCCTGGACAGTTATCGACGGGGTGGTGGAAGATTTGGGTCAGTTTAGGGGGAGCGTGTCTAGGGTAGTTTTGTCAGTGAGTCTCTTGAGCGAGTGGAACACGCGGAGGTGCATTCGATAGTGCGGGGGTAGAGATACTTCTTGGGATCATATTGGAATTCGTTAGCCGCCATATTTGGAGAGGAGTGTGGAATCTTGAACGGTAGGACGTAATGGCAGAGATGTGAGTCGACACGAACAGGGATCCGTCGGGTCTCCGGGCCAACACGGATACTTATAGCGAGCAGTCCAGGGTTACTCTGGATTTCTAGATCCTGTGCGACTCTCCGCAATATCTGCAGGGCATGAGAGGTGACGCGATAGAAGCTAGGAGCACCGCACACTCCGGCTGGCACTGCTACGAGCTTTCCATGGAATATACCACAAGCGGTGGGTTCGTCTGGAACTTGGAACGACCTTTGTACTTTTTCTTTTTTTTTTTCTTTGTTGTTTTCGTGCTTTGCTTTTTTGGTTCCAGGAAACTTAGAATGAAACTCAGAGAGAAAGGAGCCCAGTGGTGGGTAGTCCGGGGAGACGCAGTCCTGCAAAAGTACGACAGCTGCACTCTAATTCACGATCGATCCGTCATACAGCAGCCTTCATGCCGATCCCCTCTCCCGTTGGGGCGCCAACATTGTGTCCAAGGCCAGATTGTAAATTAAGCAGCCATCACGGCATCGAAAATAGGTGGTGTTGACATGGCGGACGCCGCCCATTGCAGGGTATAGGGTAGCACACAAAGAGTACGGACCAGCCATGGACATCATGACGCAAAGCTTTACACACTGCATGTGGATGGTGCACTCCGACCTTCTCCGGGAATTATTGGACGCTTATGCAGTGTACCCCGTCTGGTCGGAGGGCTACAGGACTGCCCATGCTACGTGGTGCCCCTTCGTCAGGCGGACCTCAGTGAGTGCACGGACCCGCCGGAGGCCTACTAGCCGATCGACAACGTCATCTGGGTATATGAGTTCTGAAAAGGACAGTCTGCAGGCTACGGCATTGCTGACAGGTGCGTGCATGAGTGTAAAATGCCAAGATTTCGGTAAAATACGTGGGAGACTCGAGTTCGGCGGCCCCAAGGGAAACTGCAGGGGCTGCAGCAACCCCCCACCACAAGACCGGGCGCCAACAAAAATCCCTGCATTATAATAGCCAGAGCTATACAGGCCACTGGGCCGATCATACAGTGGAAATAGGAACGCGACGATTGGCTGGCATGACGGAGGGACCGGGTGGAGTGCCGCAAGGCCCGCATTCACGACTCAGCCGTCTCTATTTGGGAAGAGCGGGTCGGAATGCAGAATTGGTTGGCAGTGGCTGCTGATAGTGTGGCGAGCTGAAGACTGTGTTACACTGCAGAAGACGATCCCTGCTGTCTTGGACTGTGTCTGCGCTCTTGGAATGCCTATCGTTCTCTGCGGCGCGGAAGGAACCAGCGACGGATGGGTAATGCGCGTGAAGTGACACAAAGGAGAGGAATGATAGATGCAGGGACACTCAGCAGTGGTATTCGCTTCACGATGATATGTTGTTGAGACTGAGGGTAAAAATCCCTTGCGCCAGAGGACTGGTTCATGTAAGACAGCCGACGGAATAGGCTGTTCCAGTGCTCTGGCTTCTTCAGAAGAGGAATGTCCATCCCATCCACCGTGGTGCTTAACAGCCTCTTGCTTTGGCGATTCGTCATTGTGAACGGTCGATTCCAGTCAGCTCACAGGGATGGACGTTCGCAGCGCAGATCAGGCATATCAAGCAAAGATCCACCGGAAACCACAGGTGTCAGCTACAGTCGAGCACACATTACGCAAAGAGGCTCCGATCGTGGTCGCTTCAGGGAATATGCTACGAATGTCTTCAATGATTGCGGCCAGTCACAACGAAGAGTGGAGATCGAGACAACATTGGCGCCACCGTTGCGACAGAAGAAGAAATCGAAATAGTGGAAGTGCTACGTTTGTGATAGAGGCTGAGATCCTATTCGAAAGGCCCGCGGTTCTATTGGTTCTTGCTCCACATAGAGGTCTACATGACTGCTCCGGGTGCAGAGATCGGTTCTCAGCTCGCCTTCGATGCTTCGATGAAGCACCACGGTACTTTCCCAGCAGCTGAACAAATTCCTCCCCACACGATCGATGATGACCCCAGCCTGCTTTCGGATCTGGGATGGAGGTATCGATGAACTCAAAGCCCATACTGCAACCTACGGTCTAAGATGTCTCGAGGCTATTGCTGCCACAGTCTAGACCGAGACCAATTGGGACATGCCAGGTATGACGACAACGTATGGTTGGAAATCGGAAAATGCTGATGGAGGCCAGGACGCGTTCAGCGTCCCGACCTGCTGCCTTCCGTGGTTCGAATTCATGCCATCTGTAACGCTGGAGGATGAGCCCAAGAGCGGATCAGCACATAGTGTAGGCATTCAGCTGCAATCGTCAATGATCTATCGAACGCCTCTTCAGATGTGTTGCCTCCATCGGGTTGGGCACATTGCCCTTTCCCCACTGTGATCACAGCATGTTTGCGATCAAAGGATGGATGATCCCTGGGTGAGCACAGCCAGTAGCAATAGTGTCGGTGAATGGGGATGAGATCACCATTCTCGCTTGTTGGGTTGGTTTCGTCATGTACACACGGCGAGCGGTGGAGCGTGAGGGTAGACATAAATAGCCTCCCAGATGCCAGAATGTTGTCACCAAGACCACAGCGCATCCACGATCATCAGATTCCGACTTAGTAGCCCCTTAAACCAGAGAGCCCGCCTCAAGCGTCTATCTTCACCATGTCTGGGGACTGCATCGATAAGCACAATGTCCAAGGCGACATCTGGTAGGTCCAGAGCTCCCTATCCCATGCTCATCTGCCTGACTGTCGACAGGCCTGGACTATCGAAGAAGTATGAAGATTTTCACTTCTTCCGCATACTCAATGTGGAAAGGTTCAAAAGTCACCTCAGTAGCTTCATCCCACACATAACCGACTGTGAGAAGGCAATGCAGGACAAAGGCCTGATCAGACAGCACAAGATTGCTGTTGCCCAGGGGACTGAATCCCCCAAGTTGCTCGACGTGGTTGGAGTCAACATCTCCTTCACTAGCAAAGGCTTGGCTTTGGTAGGGCATCCCGGACCAATGATGTGACAGAGCAACTCGCTGACGAGGTGGCTTCAGCTGGGCAAGCGCGACATTCAGAGCAAGGCGTTTGAGATTGGTCAATTGGCTGACATGACCGACACTGCCAATGGTGGTCGTGACAAAGCAACGGACTGGATGGATGAGTTCAAGAACAAAGAGATACATGGCCTCATCAATATTGGTGGCAGCAGCAAAGACATTGTGGAGAAGAAGTGGAAAGACATTCAAGCCCTTTTCGTTGGACGCTTCAAATTTACCACCAGCATTGAGGAAGTCGTAGTCCTCTCTGGAAAGGACAGAGATGCTCCCAATGGAAGCAAAGAACAGTCAGTAGAAACCACCCAACAGGACGCACGAGCTCACGAGTGAATAGCTTTGGGTACGAGGACGGTATCTCGCAGCCGAAGATTCAAGGATTGGACCGGCCGGAGGAGGGAGAGAAAGCCCCGCCACTGATCCCTCCCGGGTAGGCTTCCTTCCCAAGAGTCCCTCCGCAACGATCATATGCTTACTGGATAATAGGATCTTCTTCCTCGGCCACCGGGGGCAGCCTATCTGCCAACCTGACTGGGCCCACGAAGGCAGCTTCCTCGCAATTCGGAAACTGCAATGCATGGTTCCAGAGTTCGACAAGTACGTGAGCATCACACTTTGTGACCTATGATCAGGAAGCACTAACGAGCGTGAAACCTAGATATCTGGAAGACGAGGCTAAAAAACATAACCTCACTAGCGAACAGCTCGCGGCGAGGTTTATGGGACGATGGCGGAGCGGTATGACACGCCCTTCATATTTACATGGAGATATGCTGATTTAAACAAATGCAGGAGCCCCAATTGATATGGCCCCAGACCAGGACAATCCCGCCTTGGCTCACAGTAACAACTTCGATTTCGACCCAGCGGACACCCAAAGCCGATGCCCATTTGCCGCGCATATTCGGAAGTCACGGCCGCGCGCCGACATTGAAGATCGCTTCACTCGTTCCATCTTCCGCCGTGGTATCACCTATGGACCCGACGTGACCGAACAGGAGAAGAAGGATCATAAGACGACGGTAGACCGTGGAATCTTCTTCATGGCCTACTCTAGCGACATTGACAACGGATTCTCATTCATGCAAAAGAGTATGTTGCCCATGCCCGTTGGTGGCCGGAATAGTGTAACGGAATGCGCTAATCAATCGGCTTATCTGTAGAGATGATTAATAACAACCAGTGGCCCGAGCGAGAGCAAGCTACTGGGCCCGAGGGAGCCGGGCTCGATCCGTTCTGCGGCCAGGCTGTGCCCCCAGGCCCACCCAAGTTCTGTATGGTGGATGGCGACAAGAAGACTGTTCATGTGTCTTTGGATAATTGGGTGGTCGCTCGAGGCGGCGAGTACCTCTTCGTGCCTCCCATCAAATTCCTCAAGACCCTCAGCAAATCCACGTAGGGCTCTGGGTTGTGGTTGGCAGGAGGTCCGGGAGCTGCTGGCTACCCGCGTGAGGAATGGAAAGGCCTACAGAAGTGGTGGGGCAGCCCCCTGCATCTTGAACAGTATATGAATAGGAAACGGTATTTTGTTGTTTTGCTCTAGTTGTATAGTTGTCTCCTATTTTCTAGGCAATGTATTTCGGGTTTGTCACGAGATTGCCACCATTCAGACGTAGGGCCGTACTGCTGTTGAAGATGTGACTAGAATTTTCTTCAGTTAAGCGTTTCGACATAGCCGGACTTAGCTCCAAGAATTATTGATAATATAGGATATTATTGCATTCTGATGTCCCATACTGATTAAAACGCATCAAAGACGCCAAAGCAGACACGCCAAGTGTTTGGTCTACATTTAATTCCGAGTCATTGCCTCTAGTGTATCTCTTCCTTGGGCAAAGGAACCGTCACTGCATGCTTAGCATACCGTTCGCTCTCTTCATTCCGAAGACGAATGTACGAGGTGACATGCTCGGGCACCGGAGCAACTTGATTGCCTGCGCTCGGAACTGGCTCACCCATGGTCTGCCAGATGGGAATGACGCCCGTCCACACACGAGCGGTCACCTCTTCGTTCTCATAGTCCTTCTTCAGGTCCGTAACTCCGCCATCACGAATCTTCCCGCTAGCACTGACTACCTTCACGCGCAGAATGGTCGTGGACTGCATCTCCGCGTTGTCGGGGGGCACCCGAGAGTGACGCCACCGGTCTGTAACCACGGAATTGGTAATGAGTTCCATTGCGTAGAGCCGTTCCTCGTCGTCGTCTACGGGCCGGGCGTATCCTTGAATGACGGCAGAGCGATAGTTGTAGTTGTGCGAGTTTGGCGTCAGCGTGAGGACGATTCCGTCGACCATCGTCGCGCATATGGACACGGGGAGCCCGCCGTCTGGGGATGACGCGGCGGCGGAGCGGGCTTCGTTCATCAGACGCGAACTCACATATCCATGCATGTAGATATCGAGAGGCTCGTCGAGGCCGGAGGAGGGGTGGTGGAAGTCTCCCATATGGCCGATCATGGGCAGAGTGACGGGAAAGGGCTCCGAAGGGTCGGTCAAGGAGACGTGCAGCACGGGGGCCACATTGACGATGGAATGGATGGCTTCGAGATCATAGGTGGCTATTTCAAGCGTAGCGTCAGTTAACTCGAATGCATCAAAAAAGGGGAAGCCTGAACCGTCGTCGTTCAGTGTGTACCTCTATGTTTGTAGCGATTGACGGTGTTCGCGGATCGTTTGGGATATGTCAGCGTGCGGCCCATTTTGCCGGTCGGTTGGCCACAGTCGAGACACAAAGAGAGTACGTTAATGAACACGAGCAGGTCAACCCAGCAGCTGGTATTTATCTAGACAAAGAAACCGACGCCCCCTGCTCGCTGGCGGGGTTTTGCTAATATTGCGGTGCCGTGGATTGGCTGTGGGCATGCGCGAGTCGCGGTTCTTGGTCGCATTGGGACTTGATGCTCTCGTTTACTTTCCCGACCAGGAAGCCCAAACCCCCCGTGCAGACGGTATGATTAGCTTGCTCGGGTGCAAAAGACCTGTAGGATTCTTATCTTTCCATGGGTTTTAGCTTCCCGGGGCCACACTGGTCCTAACCGCCGAGTCATCATCGCGTTTCGTGGTACTACTCCCGCACTCGTATTACGGCTACTGAATAAGCTACACCGAACGATCGCCAACTTGGTTAATGCTAGCTCGGTTCATTCACCAGGCAGTGTAGGTTCTAGTATGCTACCGTGTGCTACATTGTCAAAAGATGTCAAATCACGCTGGGCCATCGTGACTCCTCATCCCTGCACCTAGCCATCTTGTCGTACGCAAGGCCTACGATCCCCTGGATATCCGCGCTACGGGAGGTAGATTTCCCTTGCTCCCGACACGCTGGCCAGATAACCCTATATTTTGCAAGTGGGCGTAGAATATTGTGGGTACTAAACAGCGGGACACACGCACAGACAGACGTCAGCCTTGGAGTTCTCATGACATACAAGTGACACTTACCCATCTGGTGGCAATATCGGGGTGGCTAGCAAGGTACTGAGCTAGGTACTGGGTCCCGACGCTCTCGCCGTCCCTGGTGCCAGCGAGAAACGTCCGGAACTCATCGCGTGCATCGGGGAAACGCTGCAAGATATCGTCGCGCAGTGTGTTCAGCGCTTCCTGGGTCTCCTTTGCCGCCACAGCGGTATCCATGCCAATACCCGTGCCCACCGCAATGCTATAACGGGGGCCCAGGCCAGGAGGGGGAGTCACAACCCGGTGCCAGGGAGCCTTACAGATCCCATGGGTCATCGCTTCCAGGGCTTGACCGGCAACGAAGACAAATGTATTGTCAAGGGGGGGAGCGTCAATCCATACCCCCTCGCGTGTTTGCACCTGCAAGCAACGATGGGGGGAGGCTTGGAAAATCAGTGTGGAGAATCCCTTGTCTCGGTGAGCGCCCAACCCCACTTGCTCTTTGTCGGTTGCTTGCGAGGTTGGGATTTCCGGATATTTCATGAGACGAAGACGGTGCTGCTGGTTCTGGAAGAACCGGCTCACCAGTTCTGGGTCGATTCCCATGGCTTCGCTCACCAGGTTGCGCATTGTGTTGGAGACATCGGATACTTGCTCGATCCATTGTTCGTATACGGTGCGGAAACGTGGAAGCCTGTCCGGTGAAGGCCACTGGTTGGGTGCGAGAAGGTTCAGATAGGCTGGCCCGCCCGTCGGGGCAGGGTGTGGTGTTGAGATGGTAAGATGTTCTCGCCAGTCGGTACGGTTGGCAGTTACCTCTGACCCGAGCTGAAAGGGGAATGCACCGACTGAGCAATGAATACTTGCAAATGAACAGAATCACTTACCTTGGTATAGCCGAGGAAGCTGGGGACATTCGCAATGTCGATTTCGGCCTTGTCCACATCGGGAAGACTGAAGAATGCGTCACATTCTTGTCGAGCTTCTTCAAACAATGAGGCTTGCACGGGGTGATTTTTTAAGTAGAAGAGCCCTACATCACGTAAGGCTGCCAGCATGGAGTCCAAGAAGGCCTGTCTACCCTTTGGTGTATGGACCAGGGAGAAGTCCAGAACCGGGACAACAGATGCAGAAGACATTTTGGGTTGTGAAAGAAGGAGGCTGTTCCACACGTACACGAAGGGTGACTCTGGTGGTCACTGTGGTATGGTGGCTATGACCCTGTTTAAAGCTGACTAGGCATACGAGGTGGGAAGGGAAATGTCTCCTCCTGGTGATGCCAGACGAGGGCAATGGCAGCACCCCCTCCGCCAGAACAGATTCCAATATTACCGCGGATGAGACATTGATGTCTAAGATGAGGGGTTCCTTTCTGCAATGCTAATCGCAACTACTTAGGGCGACATCATGTGGACAGTTCAGCATGTTCCAAGTTGATGCCTATCATCTGTACAGGGATCTTACGTCGCTCTGGTGAATAATATATTCAGTCGTCCCGCCAGCCACCCACTGCGCCCATCCTGCACGGCCTAAATTAGTCTGCGCAATATCGACCACTGCCAGAATTGTCTCATCCTAAGGTTCCGACATTCCGCGATACGCATTTCACAACAAAATGCTTCGAGGACGGGCATCCCACGCAGCCGTCGAGAGACAGACTACCCCGAAATGACCGTGCGCCGAGTAGTTACCATGCGGAGGCCATCATTTTGACCCATTACGCAATCGTGAAGTCTGGAAAGAGAGGGGGAGAAATGTAACACTTGGTAACATACATCGGCAATCAGTCATGGCATATTCATAGTTTCCCCGGTGCGCTGAGCTGTCGAGACGTAGGCCTTCCCAACATTGTCCAACCTGCAAAGTACACTGTTCCACAACATAGAGCTACTTTTTTGTAGATTTACTAGAGAATCAAGAGTTCCAACTTGTTTCTTGCTTCATGTCGTCAGTCTTTAATTGGTACCTGCGACAATTTTCTGATATCCACGCCGTATGAAAAGTATCCAGCCGGTAACTACCAGACTCCAAGCGCGTAAAATACTCAGAACTACCTCGTCCATCATTCCGGATACGCCAATACTGCCACTTTCTGCCAGTCCTCGTTTGAGTCAAAGTTGTTGCGAACAGGGTCTAACAGAAGATTCAAGCCTGCTGCCACCGATGCCTTCAACTCGGCCGGTGTCACAGAGTGGGCCAAGAAGTCGTGTTCCAGGTCCTCGTAATTAAAGTAGGTTCTATCTTCGCCGGTGGCGCTGGGCACAGTAAAGGGGTGTGACCCACCTTCCAGGGCCATACGAAGTCTGCAAAGGGGCAATAGAATGTGTCTTGCCATCGCTAACAAAGCATTCCCTTCCACAACTCCCGGTATACATGTTGCCTCACCTATCTTGCTACAAACGACATCTGGTGGATCGAGAAGTTCAATTTTAGTGCCGGCCGCATGGGACGAGGACATCTTTGCCGTGGTTAACCCGGGGATCATCTCAGTCGTGAGGTGGGCTCGACTTGTGTATCCGAGGTGTGGGAGAATCCTTTCAGCTAGGGCGAAGACACCGGACTATCATGTTGATGGTTAGCTCATGAGCACGGGGAAGTCTAGGGGTTTCTTGTGGTATCTCATGCCTGGTCTTGCCCTCCCAGTTGGAAGTCCGCGTGTAAATACTCCTCACAGAGAACCTGGCGTGCAGGACACAGAAGCGAGCTTGTCATGGTGGTTGTCGCCATCTCATTGGAGACGGCACGCACATCGTCGATGGACAACAAGGTGTATAGCCGGTTCAGATCATGGCTAGACTGCTTCACCGCGGCGAATAGGACGGACTCCCGGACAAAGTGGTCTTCCATCTGCGGGATCCCCAGCGCTTCTACGGTGGCACGGACAAGGAATTCGTAGTATTGGGTACGATAATCCACCAGCTCCCGGGGATGTTTATAGTTAATGAGGTATGCATATTCGTCGGCGAAATAAATACTAAACTGGCGGGTAACATTAGTCGAAGGTTAGATACCAGAACCTGAACAGTCGTGTATCTGCAGCGCAACACTCACATCGATCCCCGCGGCGACCATCTCAGCGATCTTGATGAGTGGTACAAGGTATCCGATATGAGCTGAGGGTCACAAAAGCGCATGAGCATGTGTCACTCTGTAGTGGCGGGACGGGCCACAGCGGGCCGTTATACTAACGTTTTCCCGTCGGAGCGGTACCTAGAAACAATAGCATCGTCAGCCATCGAGGTATATCCTCGCCTGTCGCATACCTGTTTTCAATTAACCTACCCCAGAATCCGTGAATTCTCTTTCCCTCAGCTAAGAGCTCGTCAATCACGGCCCCGTTGCTTAGGCGGAGTCGGCTGGAGGGGAACCGCAGGCGCTTGTCGCCCGTCATGATGGCTGGAGGATGGGATCCAGCGATGCTGGGTGCTAGACGAGGTCAACTATTGATATTGGGGTTATAGAAGCTCTCCATCGGCGATTGGGGGACGTAATGGCAGCACCGGAACATTATAGCAACACTCTCCATGCCGGCAGGGCACCCGCTCGAGCTCAATTACTCTCGAATGATGGACTATCGACTGCCGAAGTTGACAGCCGTTGACATCCTGCTCGCCGACGTGGGAGATTCAGCTCGGACGGAAGAAGCCGACAGAATGACGAATGCACAGTATCCCATTCCTTGACTCAAAAAGAAAAATGAAACAAGAAAAATCAAAAAGCAAAAATACGAGCTTGTGCGTTGGAGGTTCCAGCCTGTTTCTACCTGCCAGCCTGCATATGCACTCCTTGCTTATGACATACCAACCGGATTTGACGGAAATTGGTGGAAACCCCCCTTGGATAGAAGATTGAATGAGGATGCACCCTTAGCTGCCCAAAGCGTAGGCTTGCGTAAATGGCACTGTCATGAAAATATATATGTTTGGTGTACATCAATACTGGATAAGGGTTCGATACGCGTTAGTAGTAAAACTTTATGGTTCAGGCGTGGAGAGTAAATATCATGGATGATTATGCTCAATTGGCATTTTGGATCTAGACTGCTGTCAGAAACTGGGAGAGGCATCCCGGTGGGTGGCTGAACGTAAGTCCAGCCAGTATATTGAGGTTGCTCTGAGGGTGCAGTAGTGGCTTGGCGCTGGCAAGATGCGGATGCATATTTCCCTGATCCGGCCGTGTTGCGAGTACAGCCGCCCGTGGCAATTATCTGCAGGCTATAGACGCAAGTTCACACACCTCTGTTGCTGTTCCAAGGCTCGCTTTGAAATTTCGACTTGTTAGTTTTGATTCTCTTGAAACCTGCATTAACTTTCTGGCCTTCCCCACCTCTATAAACCTCCACAAACGACGATCTTCATAGTACTCACGCATGGCTGTGATGCAACATCGGAAAATCCCTCGCAACACCAACAAGGGAGAACGTAATCGAGAAGAGGGGAAACTGATGATATTCGGCCAAGGGCCTCACCAATCAATATCTGATTCATACTGCATAGACACGGCAAGCCCGAAGTAGTCGGCACCGACCAAGCTCAATCTCCTAGACCATCCCCACCTTTTGACGCTCCTGCTTTGTCCCAGTAGCTCTGACACATATATGGCAACTCTATAGGCGTAAGAACGTATCAGTAGGTTACCTTTGATGCCATACCACATGGTTCACATCAGGAACACTGCTATCTCGTTCCATTCTAAGCAACGTAGACAATAATGCCGTCCACAGCCGTCACGGAAGCGGTTCCCCCGAGGACTGTCATCGACATCGGGTCCTGGGACGTGTCAGTGTCCTTGCGCAAGATGCTAGAGGACAGGTTTCTTGCAAAGCCCGACGGCCAGCGCCATCTGCCGACTGCACTACTCTGTGATGAAGTGGGCTTAGAGATGTGGCACAAGTGCGCTGCTTTGCCCGAGTTCTACAACAAACGAGATGAGATCAACCTGCTACGCCACTGGGCAGATGAAATCACCGCGCATATTCCAAGTGGCGCAGTTCTGATTGATTTGGGTGCTGGGTACGTACCGCATAGTCACAATTATACGATCTAAGCTAACAAGATACACGCAATGAAGCGATGTGAATAAGATCAAACCAATCCTTGACCAGCTTGAATCAACCCAGAAGGATGTGACATACTATGCGCTCGATGTGTCCAAAGAGTCCTTGATAAAATGCATGGATATTCTGCCTGCTTCTTACCAACACGTCAAGTGTTATGGTCTATGGGGCACATTCGACGATGCGCGAGTATGGTCCGACAGGATCACTGCACCGCGCTGGTTCTTCTCACTGGGATCCATCTTCGGAAACGATAGGTTTGACATCGCTGTAGCTGACCTACAAAAATGGTCTGCCATCATGCGGCCTGGGGATCGCATTTTCCTTGGTCTGGATGGGTGCAAGGATGTCGAGAAAGTATGGCTTTCGTACAATGACCCGCAGGGCCACTGGCATGATTTCGTCAGAAATGGCCTGCATCATTCCAACCGTGTTCTTGGCCATGAGTGGTATCGTCCAGAGGATTGGGAGATCACGGGCGTGTGTGGGGAGACTCCCACGTTCCGCTATGTGATCAAAGCAAAGCGAGACGTCAGCTGTAAACCGTTGGATCTGGAGATCAAAAAGGGTGAAACCATTCTGACCACAGAATGGTACAAGTATGGCCCTGAGGAGATGCAGCAACAATTCAATCATTCTGGGTTGCAGGAAACTGCTCGCTGGGAGTCCCCTTCTGGACCTACTTGTGAGTTCAGAGCTTCACACTTTGTTCAGAGAGACTTCCGTTATGCTGACATGATTGACAGGGGACTATCTACTGGCTGCTCGGTAATCGTAACTCCGAGTTGTGGTGTGAGAGCGGAGTACTGGTAGCATAGCAGAATCGAATACACCTCAGTGAATGTCCCTGTTAAGGGAGTTATTATGCGAATACTAGGCCAAATTAAGATATTCGTGATGCACCAGGTACATATAGTCGAAAGTAGGAGAATAACATACGGGATGTAGGAGGGAAAGTGAATACTCGTCTTAGTCCTGGTGTGTTGAGGTATCTGCCACACCTTACTCAGAGGATGCATTGTTACAACTAACTCCGTGGAATCATCGATACAGCATTGTCAACCGACGTTGCTTGGATGTTGAGAGAGGTTAAGGCTAAACTACATTACAAGTACGAGCAAAACTCTTTACGTAGCAAGGACATGCCCGCTCAAGCTTTGGCAACCTGAAGCTGAATACAGAGTATGTAGAGTGTAGTTATTCATTTCTTCGCATTTTATTGCGAGCGTGAGGCCTTTGCTTTGAGGAAAGCCCCAAACCTAGTTTTCTGTATAGATCTCAGGCCACCTTGTCCGGTCGGAGAAAATAGCTAAGCAAATACCTCTCTTCCACCCCATCTTCCGGCTGAGTTACACGGTGAAGACAAGAGTGCAACTGGCCGTTGGACTGTTCCTGAAGGGAATTGGCAACGTTCACCACCATCTGCCCTGGCCTATTCTCAATCCACTGGTACTCGTTCGTCAGCGGGTTCTTCAACTGCATGCATAGATGCCTGATGAACATCAATGTCAGCGTTCCACCGTCGGTATGAGTGTTGTCTGTAACGTCCGCTAGCCGAGCTTGGGTCGGTGCGCAGTACACCTTGAAACCAGAGTCACTGGGCATTTCAGGTCGATGGTTATTCTCGAATCGATCGGGCCCCTGTCGCATGAGCCCATCAGAGAGGGCAGAAAGAAGGTGCATTGCTAGCTGATGACAACCCTCGGAGAATGCCATCAGTGGCTCCTTGTGGTCCTGCAGAAAACCAGGATAACCAGATAGTCCATTGGAATGGTCATCCAAGGCGATCTGTTTGTTAGTTAGACCTCTACCCCAGTGGTAAACTATCCCTATGATGCAAATATGCTCACCTCAAAGGACTCATGGTCTGCGTATTTCTTGTACCTATGACGCGACGTTAGTCTTGTGTTTCCTAATCTCCCATATATGCTATCACATACCCACGGTCGTAGTTGGGATTGAAGTTTTTCATCTTCTCGGGTTCAGACTGACAGAAGTACTCCTTGACGAGAGTAAATATTTCCGGCACATCGTCCACCAGACCTCTAGTAGACTCCCCATCAAGATCGATACAGAAAAATCCTGGAAGTCGAGCGGCCTCGAGAAGGTCACTCAGCGCCGCCGGTTCCTTGGCGAGGATTTTTCCCATGCTGATACTTTTGATGGAAGCCATGTCATGGCGATTTTGTGTAATGATGGCGGTAGTACTCATTTTGGCAGTTATCTGTAGTGGGAAACGAAAAAAAGCTCACCCTGAGACAACGATAGAGAGGAATCTTGCGACTGGCTCAGCTTGTTTCTCTGAGGAACATCGCAACTACTTCCTTTAAGTCAGCTACGCCACATCGCTTCCATACGTAATTCTCCACCACGAGCAAATGCAGGTGCTGCATGCTGAGGGGTCCGTCCTGGCAAGGGTGTATGTTTTGGCTTGGCTGATTGCAGGGTACACACAAGACAACGCATCATGGTCCTCACAGCTGCCATGGATGACTCGGAACCCAAATTGTGCTGCAGAGGCGGAGCAACTCTGCCGTCTAACCCCCATCTTGATACATACCTCTAATGTAACCCCATTTAGTGTAAAGTCGGCGTAAAGTCTGCTCCCCTCTTCAATTTTATCCCGTTGAATTATTAATCGTTATGAGGTGGGCGTCGTGCTTACTTGCATCCCCCTGATAAGCTCCATTGGGAATTTGTTCCGATTACCTGGCCTTGCGTTGGGGGCTTGCAGATATTCAGCCTAAGTTACGAGTATAATACGATCGTGCCTCGAGTAAGATGTTTATTTGTTGCCGAGAGTAGCCCAAACTCACGGACCCTGTCTTCGCTTTCTCTGCGTGTTGACTCCTGTTTTCCTTTCTTTTGCTGTGCTGGCTTGAAAAGGTGACCTGGCTCCGAAATGGACATCAATCAGCCGGCCATACAGATAGTGGCGGCTTTCCTTATAATTCTGATCTTGCTCTTAACCAGTGTCGATAAGCGTAAATTAGCTCCCTACTTAGGTGTAGGACATCGTTATATCTCCCGCACACTCTCGAGACCATTGGCAACTAGTGACGATAACGCATCTCCGAGCATTGCATTCTACAAAACTCTATATCATCGGCTACAGAACCTCGAGCAGTACCCTGGAATTCAGGAACAAGGGAGGGAGTCTTTCGCCACATGGATCTCCGATGCCCTAAACCGAGCTTCTCATAATCCCGCAAGAGACATCTTGTCGGTCGAGCAGTACTCTAGGGAGGCTTTGCTGGCATTTGTCCAAAGCCAGCAAGAGCAGGTGACCGACCAGTTTGAAGCGTACCATACCCGGCGACGAAAAGGTGGCCGGAGGGAACACTTCCCTGACCGGGACGCAGCTATCAGATGGCTTAGACAAGCATCTCCATTGAAACTTGTTGATGGTGCTTGGCTAGGACATATCAATGGCGTGAGCACCCCGTTCAACCTAAGGCCCGTATCCAAGGGGCTCTGGCAGATCCTGTCCGAGGAGCTTGGGGATGGCGATCGCAAGAAGCATCATGTGTTCGTGTACCAGGAGCTCTTAAGAAGTGTTGGCCACGTTCCGCCTTGCCCGTCTAGTTCAAGCTTTATACAAACAGACCATGGCGCGGATGATGTTCGGTTCTGGCGAGCGGCCGTTGCACATCTCTTGATTTCACTCGCACCAGATTGCTTTCTGCCCGAGCTACTCGGATTCAATCTGTGTTTTGAGGGGCTTCAGCTTGATACGCTTGTGGTTGCAACGGAGCTCCGTGAAGTTGGGATAGATCCCTATTACTTTCTGTTACACATTTCCATTGATAACGTCGCTTCCGGTCATACCGCGATGGCAGCAGAATGTGTAATTCGGTATTTGGATCACGTAAGAGACTCTGAAGGTACGCAAGCGATGGATTGCGCCTGGAAACGCATCAAGGCGGGTTTCGTGTTCTGCGGCGATGCTAGTTCTAGCTCCACGAACGCCGTAGCCACAGGCCCCTCGATGCTTACCTCCAAGCCGGACTTGGAGGGGGACTTGCTCAATATCTTCGCTTCCAAAGTGAACGCGGCTCGAGGCATCCACTGCACAAGTAAAGCCAGAATTGGATCCCGTACCATGGTCGATTGGCTGGAGCCAACTGCATTCCGGTCACGGGAATGGCAACAAGATTTCCTGCGGAATCTGACCGAAGCCCGACCTTGGGTATACAAGGGTGACAGTCAGAAGAGTAAACTTGTTCAGGAGCTCCGCTGGGGAGGTCGCATGTTTGGTTGCTTTACGGATCGAGAGCTTGGCGTTCTAGAGCGGTGGATTGATACACTGTACCATACGACTATGGATCATACACGCATGTCTGAGGAGGAGAAGGAGTTGGACATGGCTATTGGCACTATCCATCAAGCGAATATCGGCCGCAACAACGCCAACGACATCCAAGCTCCTTCAGCTATTCTGCCTACAGAGCCAGGCAGGTTATCACGGTCTGTACCAATACGGTTCAGGTTGCCCAATCTACTGCCTCTCTGGTTTATGCATGGTTGTCTGCTGGAGGGATTCGTGTACGCGCCAGCCTTGACCACCAGTGAAATGGGGTGTGCCGTCATACGGATTCTACGTGCTCAGATGGGATTTGCCAACGAGGGGCCCGTGGCCGCGGGGATGGATGAGATGTCTCGTATGGACTCACCCGGGATCATCGAGATGGGCCTGGAACTTATGAAACGCATGGACCTCCCCTCGCCCGGTAATATAACGGATATCCTACAAGCGTACCCATCTGACTTTGCAGAACGAATGAACCGCTATGCCATGGCTCCCGTGGCCAACTTACCACTGTTACTTGGCATACTACTGGCATTCATTGAACTGCAAGAGAAGGTTGTAGTATCGGATCTTTTGTCTCGAGAAAGCTCCGATAAATTGGCCGACATAGTCTTACGTGAGCGAGACAGCCTACAAGTCTGCCACACAGAGCTTGAACGCGACCGTGGCCAGTACGCGAAGTTCTGCAGTGGATATCAAATGGGTAGAGCAAACGTGGATACTTGCCTGGAAGTCCCATAGATCCGAGTAGCCTTTCTGCCACCAGCCAGAACAACAAGAGCCAAAGCCACAAGCCAGCGTCTTTTCTATTTGGATAGCTGTCCAAATGCCTGTCTTCTAATTGATGACCACGTGCCTTACGGTCTACGTTAAATTTCGAATTCCCCCTTGCTGTCCGTTCTATTACGTTTCGTTCTGCCAGACCTTTGTTCAAATACATGTTCTGTTCCTTTAGTATGCGTTTAAAGGTAGAGAATATAAGACCCAGCGCTGCTGTGCCGTTAAGCCTGTTATCCTATCCAGACACATCAAGATGGTTCATGGAAAAAACAATCGTCCTAACATTGCCACTAGCTATTTTCCTTTCTACTGTATATAATGTCATAATGGAATTTATTACCATCAACTGCCTTTTGTACCTCAGGTACGACTACGCACTATTTCGTTTTGTTGATCTCTCATCTCCTGTATCCTATCTTAATGTAATTTCTCTTCCTGTGTACTCCATACTACCACCGCATATACATAGACTAGCTCTACTGCCCAGGTCGTTCATTGATCGAGGTTACTGATTGTACCAGAATATACGTAGACAGAAGAGCAGCTTTGAATATATCGGTGGCGATCCAATTCTCCACTACTGTCGATGGTCTATCACAAAGCCATCGACCCTTATACCGCCGTCACCATCTTGCTATCCTCCCAGAACTCCTTGTGGCCTTTCCGGCCGGTCAACACAGTGCTGGACGGCGCGGCATTGCCGGCCTCTAGGAACAGTTTGCCTTTCATATTACCCCAGTCGACACTCTTCCATTCTCTACCTTCCCTGTCAACAAACACTGTGTCCGTATCAGGCCTCATCAAGTACACGACGGACAACTTGATCCGGTCTTTCTGGCGGGGGTCCGGGACTACTCTATGCAAAGAAGACTTCAGAGTGTTCCCAGAGAGGAACTCAACTGAGTCTCCAATATTGCAAACAGCATGTCCGGGTTTCGGCTCGATGAATGTCCACGCGTTCTTTCCAGGATGGAACACCTGGAGGCCGCCCACTTCCGCAAACACCATTGAGAGACTTCCCATGTCTGTATGCGGGACGTGGCCAACTTTCTCACTCTCCGGTGTGTAGGGGAGATACTTCAAGATTTCTAAAGAGGTGGGCGACGCGAAGTCTTTTTTATGATACCGGGCAAGGCTATGGGAAGGATCTAGATTCATCGACCGCGAGAGACTATCTAGCACCGTCCGCCCGATGTCGCCCAAATAGGTGTTTGTAGTTTCCAGGAGAGATCGGGCATTTTGGAAAGATGCCGGACCCGGAAGGGAAACATCTCTCCTGTACTGGCTCAGCGCATGTTCAAATAGCTGCAGTATTAGTTAACACCTAGAATGCCAGAATCTTTGCGTTGTGGTAGGACACGGGGCTTACCAGGATGCCTTCCCATCCGTCTTTCTTCCCTTCCACTACACCTGTTCTTCTTCCCGCTGGTTTGTACCTTGACACCATGATGTTAGCCATGATTCCCGTATCCATCAATGCCTCGAGTATTTTTCTTACATGAAACTGTACTCTTGTTCGTCATCGTAGGAGTTGCAGTCCGATGCCCACTGATCCTTTTCCGACTGCGGCAGATCAAAGAACCGCAGAGATGTCTCAGCGACCTCGCGGATTTGATCTATCAATTGACCCGATGGATGGTCCCTGCAGTCCAGATAAAAAAAACCCAGGGAAGTGCATGCCTGGAAGAGGTCTTGTGCAGCTTTCCTATCATCGTTCAGCAGGTCCTTGACGGAGATGACTGGGAGGCCGGCGTCTTCGGCGACGTCATGCTGGATGGAGCTTGCCATTGTTACAGAGGTCAGTATAGGCATGCGCCTTGAACGTTTGTTTCAATTTGGCACTTGCTATGTTCAGCCCGTCGTTACGAGGGGTAATGCTTCTCTCCCTAGCCGGACTGCGGAATGAACGCCTTATCATGCATTCTCGACCTCCGACATGAACGCTAATTCTCCGCAATCATATCCTATCTTCGACCCCCGTCGACTCCCATTTGGCCACGGTTGATTTCCGTCGGTCGAGCATGCAGCACAAGAATGTATGTACATGGTGGCACACCCCCCTTAGCAATGCCTACATTACTCACATGCGCAAGACAACGGACGCGGTGGTCTCTGCACCAAGAGGGTCCTATCGACTGCCGATCCTGGTGCAGGCCGTGGAAATAACTGTCAGCTCAGTCAATTACACCAGCTCCACTCCGTCCGGGTACTTTCGGCGGGTTGCTTTGCATTGCAGGGTGGATACCTTGCTTCAGCTCAGCCAGCTCCACTGGCATGTACGTTATTAGCTTGCGGGAGCTAGCCGCCGGGCCGTCATCGTCTTACCGTAAATGAGCATCCGAGCGAAATGGGGATCCGAGCCCATTGATGGAAACATATGCCGAGACTGCCCGCTGGACAGGGACTGGACGGATAAATGCTGCGTCATAGACTGCAGATGGGGGGTTTTCATCCCAGGATCCGAGTCACAATCGCCGTCGAATAACACCTTTAGAATTACAATCTCACCCTCCTCAAACCAGAGGTCCGAGCGCGGTTAGACAGCCACTGCGATCACATCTGCACTTCTTGCATTGGATTATGCAGAAGGTCATGGATACGGTCACGGCCGAGCCTAGGTCTCCATGGTATCCACCCACCCCTGTGAGTTAGGTGTACTAGTAACGGTTGGAAATATTACACCATTGGCGTATTATGATATCTGTCCACTTGGTGACGATGGTCTGCGGTGAACGGACGCATTCCCTTACTGGTGGTAAGGGCCATGCATAATATGCAACGATGCACATGGGGTCTCAATTAGATGCAAGGTGATGGTCATGTGGAAAGCCCATCTCAGCTCAACCACCACCTGCGAAAGGGCAGCCCGCGGCCAGCAGGCTGCACATTGATCCTCATCTCTTCTCCTCTCCTCAACTATGCACACTGCAGGAGAGACACACCGAGGAATGCCGATCCAGTGGCTCAGAGACATCAATGCGTTAGATTGTGAGCACCCCATCAGACTGAAAGGGAGAGTCCCATTGCCGTTCACCTTGCTCGTGTGCTAATCACAGATCTTGAGTACAGCCTTCCGCGATGTCTCTCTGCCTAAGCGGTTTCCTCACGAGTCCTACGTTTCTGAGCACATCCCTCGCGCTTCAAGGCGGCATTGTAACCGTCCTACTCATCCTCACCTACCCACTCGTCCTCGACCTCTATTACACGTTCGGTCTATCCCAATTACCTCGTTACAACACGCGAAGATGGTACGAACTGGGATACGGGCCCGCGAAAGCACGATATCACACCACGGCACCGATTCTGATTAAAGAAGGTCTGGAGAAGGTGTGATTCCATAGTTCCGACTTGCTAGAAAAACAACAGCTGATTGGACTTGCTCTGCCCTGGGTAGCATCGAGGCCCGTTTTACATCTTCTCGGACAGCCAGTATCGACTCGTGCTGCCGACGCGGTATGCACACATGATTCGCAATGAGGATCGACTGAGTCTAGCGGCGTTTTTCAATGAGGTGAGGCCCATGGTTAGTGACTGTGGTACTCCGTGGTCTTTCTCACGTGGAAAAATTAGGAATTCCATGCGCATATTGCCGGATTCGAGCCGTTTAAGGAGCTGAACGCTGACAATGGCATTGTGAGGGATGTGATTAATTACAAGCTGTCGCGATCGTTGCGTATGTCCAGAAGTGTGGTGGCTGTTGTGTCGACTGACATGCACTGAACTGAATGTGTGCTAACCGTCATCTTGTAGCCCTGCTCGTGGACCCCATCTCCCAAGAAGCAACCATCGCTGTTCGGCAATATTGGGGTGATGATCCAGGTCTGTCTATCCTCTCTCCACTATCCAAGTTAACGCTGACGAGCGGACCACCAAGAGTGGCGCGAGCTCCCCCTGAAGCATTCGGTCGACGGCATCATCGCCCAAGTGATGTCTCGTGCCTTCCTGATGGACGACCTCTGTCAGGACCGCCGCTGGCTGGACATCGTTGTCGAGTATACCGAGCAGATCTTTCTGGTTGCCCGGGTCCTGCGTCGCTGGCCGAAAGCCCTACGCGCCCTCGCCGCATCATTCCTCCCCGAATCTCGCAAGCTCCGAATGCTTCTCCAAGAAGCCCGAGACCTGCTGGACCCCGTTATAGCCAAGAAGATTCCAAGTTGCGATGTGACCTCTGTGCCGGAAAAGCCGTCACCAGGCAATTTGGGAACCTTCAAGTGGTTCCACGAATGTGCCACGGGACGCCCGTACGATGCAGCAGCCATGCAGCTCTCCTTCGCATTCGTGGCCATCGACACCACCTCGGATACCATGGGCAACCTGCTGTCTGATATTGCGGAGCGCCCTGAGTTGCAAGAGGCGATGAGGGAGGAGATCCGCTCAGTCTTTGAAAACGAAGGCCTCAGTAAGCCTGCGCTGCAGAAGCTCATGCTGATGGACAGTGTGATGAAAGAGAGCCAGCGACTGCGGCCTGGCGGGCTAGGTAAGCGACCATCTACATTCCCCCAACTGTCTGCCAGCTTCAGCTAAATGGCTTTCAGTTGCTATGCAACGGATTGCAAAGGACAAGGTTGTTCTCCCAGACGGTACGAACATACCTCGAGGCACCTCGATCATGGTTGCCGCGCACCAAACCCTCGATGCTTCCATCGAGCCGCAGGACACGCGGTTTGATGGCTATCGCTTTGTGCAGCGCAACGAGAACGCCACCCGTAATCTATCCACCCAATTTGTTTCTACTAGTCCCAACTATCTCGGCTTTGGGCATGGGAAGCAGGCCTGCCCGGGGAGGTTCTTCGCCGCCATGGAAATCAAAATCACCCTTTGTCACATGCTGTTGAATTACGACATGAAGCTCGTTAAGGATCGGAACGAGCAGACGTTAGTCAAGGGCCATAACTATACAACCTGTCCTAGAGCTACTATTGTTATCCGGAGGCGTAAGGGGGCGTTTCAGCTATAGACGATGTATTGCTTCCTTATATATGCAATATAAGTACTCGTGTGGAAGGGTATCAAATGAGAGTAACGCTGGCTGCCGTATAGACGGCGATTAGTGAACATATTACACCGTTGCCGACTTTATAGAGTATATTTCAACCAAGGCTTGAGTTGATCTAGGTTAAGCCACGCAATATATGGGATGCAAGGAACATAATGAACTCAAGTCCGAAAGGGATACAAAACCGTGTCCAGTAGCAACCAGTTACACACCATCTCTCCAGACTATCCTCTTAAATTCTCCATTGCACCATTGCATCTCTAAACTCAACCCCCTGGCACAGACCCGTAGGCTTGCGTTCTGTCAAGCAGGGTCCGGGATGGCCGGTCTCGGGTAACAGTTTTGTCCCGAGCCCACCACCAGTAAGACGCTCCGCATCCAAACCCCGCAATAGCGACCATCGGCGCCAGCCAGTACGGCAAACTGGTATCGCCCTGTCCCTGGGGGCTCCAAAACGGGGACACAAGGAGATAGACCTGAACAGCGAGGAAGACATAGGCGATTGACGTCCACACACGAAACGGATACTCGGCAGCCGGTACTCTTTGGCGGATGATAAACACTCCAACTACCACCGCGAAATTGATCATCGCGGCCTGGTACTGCGATGCATCGATGAGGAAATCATAAGCATCACCTGTGGTCCGTCAGAGTTCTGGAACCTGTCGCATGGAGAAACCAACATACCGAAGGGAATCAGAGCCATGGCCGCCGCCGACGTCCCGAATAGGTACACAAATGTTGCCGGTGTTGGGTTGCCGGAGCGAGTGGTCGTGGAAAGCATGCTGGATGCCGGGATCACTTCGTCCATGGCAAGTTCACGGATTACTCTGCATACGGTAAATGCAACAGACATGATACTGCCCAGGGATGAAAGGGCGACCATGGCGCCGGTCACACGTGTCGTTGCACTCCCAAACACGCTGCCCAGTATGCGTGCCACAAGTTGTAGGCCGGTTTGTCTCATGTCGTCCGGTGTGGCAATGATCAGATAGGAGACATTGACCAGAAGATAGAGCACCCCGACAGATCCGACGCCGAATACACCAGCCATCTTGAGGGTGCGTTGGGGGTTGGAGACCTCCCCCAGGATAAGGCTGGAGTTATTCCATCCTTGAAACGAACCAAGCACTTTGAACAGACTTACTGTATAGTCATAGATATTGCTCGACGACCCAGCAAACGGCTGCCGGAAATTGGTCCCCCGGTCAGTAGGACCCTTGCTCGGAATCACACCGACAGTGATCGCGAAAGCGGTACATATAATCAATAGTAGAATGGCCATCTTCACCAAGGCCAGAAGATTCATGATGCGGAGGCCCCATTTCTGTGATACGGATAGGATCGCCGCGACTACAAAGAGAACGGCTATTGCCAGTGCTCGCTTCTGTAGGTCAGAGGCAGTGCAATCGACTGCTAGAAGGAAGTTATCAGCCACAACAATGCTCGCCAGGCCTACATGATCGCACTTGGGTAATTAGCCTATTCTTTCTCATGGTTTTCCTGTTTTACGTAGCCGTACCTCCGAATGCGAAAAGTATGTAGAAGGCAAATAAAGTGCCCGCAAGTCGATACGGTCGGGGGTACGCAGCCTCGAGGTATACTTTCTCTCCTCCACTACTTGGCATTAAGCACCCTAATTCAAGCCAGATGTAAAAGCCGCACAGTGAGAGTGTCAGTCCGAGTACCCATAAAGAGAGCGCAGCGCCTGCACTGCCAACGGAAACTATAATCGAGGACGGGACAGAGAATATCGCTGCTCCAATCATGCGGTTGGCCCTGTATCAACCCAGTCAACGGGTTTCATAATGGCAGAAGCATAAGTTCACAAAGGGAGAGTGCGTCATACGGTAGTAAGGCCGTTGAGACTAGCCCCAGGTGGCGTGGAGCATTTGTGCCCATGATACTGTTGTATCCAGGCCTTGACGAAGAGAAAGGACTTTCACGGATGCTGGAGTGGCTTGCACGTCGCGAGAGAGCCATCATGTCTGTATAGATGGTTATACCTCCACAGATTAACTATGGCGAGAGATGTACAATCTGAAATTTTTATGAAACTGGAGAGTACATTGAAGTTCCTCTAGTGCTCAGACCGGAGAAGTACAACCCCGCTCGACTTGCATAAAAATCATGGGTCCTAGAGTCACCAGATCCCTCCAATCGCTCTGAGAAAATTGATTGCAGATAGGGCGGTGCAGCGGTGAGCCCGATAACTGACGGGCCAGTAGAGTGAGGCGACGTTGCATTCTCGCATGTACGAAGACTTAGCGCAGAAGATGAGACTAAAATTGATATTACGTGCAGTACCCTACATGGAGATATCCTTGGCTACACGGGGTATTGGCTCACAGTCATCATAGGGCTTGCTAATAAATTACGAATACTAGTCACCTACGCAAAGATAGCACCATGTCGCATGTATATGAAGGATGAGCTCGTTCTGCCATATCTAAGTAAAGATACTTTCATGGTGATAATTGATTTTAACTTACTAAACCTGGGATCAATGCTAGCAAAATCTCACCTATTGCATGCCGAGGATGTTTTGCAGTCTACCTTTTCTGCAACAACCGGGTCCAGAACATACTAAGCCTTGAACTGGGAAATCCAAAACGATTCCATCTCCTGGAGCGGATTGATATCCTGATAACGGGTCACTATGACAAAGAGCCGGGAAATCCTTCCAGTTTTGCTTGATCCACCACCTTACACCGGTACTAACAGGTAGAATATGCTGCCAGAGGTACGCGGTAGAGTTTCACTGAAACGGGCAGCCAGCATGAGGATACATCATAGGCCAGCTGAAAGCAGGTCGTTAACCATGGAAACGAGACAACGTTGACGAAACTGGCATCGCTTACGGATGAGCAAATTGGTACAGAAGGTTATATGTTCGTCCTGAATTGACTAGCAGGGATAGAAGGAGGAATCTGTTGTATTTTCCATCTAGGCAATCTCTGCAGGCAGCGATCTTGACGTGATCTTTACTTTGTTTGTGATGTTTACTGATATGAACAGAATAATGAATACTAGGTAGAGCTCGACACGTTGCTACACAGCATATGGGGTGGTCCAGTAAGTCCAATTGAAGCTGAGAAATCATTCCTTGACACCATCGCGGAGTTTTTAGACAAAGAGAATACAAAGAAACTAAATTCCAACATAGTGAATGAATTTAGTGATAAAGAAGAAAGGCCGAGTGAATATGTAACGCAAGAGCATGACCTTAGGGCAATCGCTGCCTAAGCTGTGGCCGATCCCTTCAGGCCACACCACCCCTGGTTTAGGCTGCGACAGTCAAGTGACCCAGTATTCACCTTCACGTCACAATGAGAAATTCACCAGCATGTGCACACATATATACCTGCTGAATCCCGTCCTTTCGTGAGTATCATCTCTCCTCGAGCCATATGCTTGTTTCGATGTATTAACATCCGGTCACCATCTCCTACAATTTGCTCGAAGACTTTTCTGTTCTACTTCATCATGAGTGACGAGGAAGGCGGCCATCTTTTTGATAGGCAAGTCTGGAGGAGGAAGTCATATTGGGAAGTCCCGATCAAAGAGTATGCCCATACCATCGTTGAGATGGAGGAAGTGAATCGGGTCATGACCAAGGTCATCATGAAGCTATCTATATGCTCTGAAGCCATACTGACTTCAACAGGGTTGCAAGTTAGACGCTTGCCTGGATTGGTTCATCTATTGCCTGAAAGAGGCCAACATAACCTATGTCCGGCGTATGGATGCCCCCGCCACCTTCGTAACAACCGAGGGTTCCAGATTGGAGGAATTCAAAGAAGAACTGCGGGAAAACTTAAATCGCTTGATTCCTGGCTATCTTGATGATGAATCGGACATTTTGCAGGTCAAGGAGTTGATGAGCAGACTGGAGAGTCGATGGCATAAAGTCCGAGTCAGTAGTGATACCAAGGAGCGAGATGGAGCTTTCAATGCGCTTTTGGATACTCTAATGGAGAAGCATTGTCACCAGTCGAGTGAACATGTGAGAACCTCTTTAACCCCTGAATTGCAAGAAACACAAGACAGCTTTGTGGACTCCTGTCTTCAACTGAAGACGTTCATTGAGGGGGAGCGAACTACGGCTTCCTATGCATGTGGGGGTAGCATCCCTATTGCCCAAACAGCTGCATTACCTGAGAACCACCCGCGAGTATCTGGTCCCATCAACATCTTCTGGTCGATTGAAGATGGCTCAGCGAGACGTTTGTCGCTACCTCTTAGAACAGACGCCGAAGATGCGAGCCCCGAGGTGTTACAGCACCTGATTGCCAGCTGTGGTCCAGCCAATTTTGGTCGCGGAGAGCAGAACGTCATGGATCTATCCTACCGAAAAGCCGGAAAACTCGACCCGGAAAACTTCGCCACAAGCTTCCACCCTGCTGACTTTGGAATTATCGAAGCTATTGAGAAAGTGTTGCTTCCTGGAATGCTCGGTAAGGCAACGAATAAATTAGGATCGCGCAAGATCTATGCAGAGCTTTACAAGATGAATGTCCGTCAGTGTTTCCCTTCGTGATGGCCTAGCTGACTTTATCCATAGATTTACTCGGGGCCATCTGGGCTCTTCCGTAGCCACGTTGACACTCCCCGCTCTCAGACCCAAGTTGGTTCCTTGGTTGTTTGTCTCCCTGCTCGTTTCAGTGGTGGAAACCTCCTCGTAAGGCACCAGGGCAGGGAGGTGAACTTTGACTGGGCTGCAGGGAGCGAGACTAGCATCCAGTGGGCTGCCTTCTACAGTGACTGTGAACATGAGATCAAAACCATAACCGAGGGAGATCGGATCACGTTAACCTATAATCTGTACGTGTCAAACGGCGGAGAAAGCGTGCTTCATTCGATAATCGATCCCAAGTCCCTACCATTGTACGGCTGGGTCAAGGACCGCCTCATGAAACCAGGATTTCTGGACGACGGTGAGTCCTTTTTGTTAAACCAAGCCTGCCACACTCTATGAGCGGCGGCCACAGTCTAACTAACCAGCACAGGTGGTGTTCTCGGCATATTCTGCTCACACGCCTACCCACATACCTCCAAAGCCACCGTCCATGATCTCCCAAGAGGGCTTAAAGGATCAGACGTGGTATTATATTCTATTTTCCAGTCCCTGGGATTAGACGTGCAGGTTCTACCCGTCTTGGAAAGCCGCGGGATGTATATCCCCGAAAATCCCAAGTTAGGGCTCACAGGGCGCATGGGAGGCAAACGCCGATTTGGCTATCTCGGTGAGTGGGACGACGAAGAACGCTTTTGCAATGATCTTCAGCCATACTTGGCCAGGAATAAGCGCCTTACCGTCAACTTTTCGGAAGTACTGCCAGAAAAGTCCAGCCGAGAGGACCTTGCTGATATCGACCGACGGTGGAAGCTCTTGAAGATGACACGACATTTGAAGAGTATGGATGAGGCAATTTCTTTTGCTCGACGTGAAGGTCTCCCATACAGAGAGGACAGCTGCTTTGCGGAAGGAGGAGCGCAGATTGGACCATGCCTGCGACCTTACGAGACGACGGAATTCGGGAACGACATGGAGATGGACGAGGTAAGCTTCCCTGCAGCCCAGAACTATTGATGTCAGGCATTCACGACCTCTACAGGTAGTCCGCCATGTGTGGCCCGCATATTATCTCCCCGGGGTTACATGGATCACGGAGCCAAAGCACGAGGAGATGGCGTTCAGTCACGTCACATACGGAAATGAAGCTGGGATCGGAACCAGATACTCGTGCGCTGCTATTTTCGCGGTGATACCCCCCTGGGATCGAAGAGATAAACTTCATGGTGATGCATCCGAGGATACATAATTAGGGCTAAGGTAGCCTACTTGGAAGGTTTAACTGGCGGGAAACAGTCTTTTAGATGAATGCTCGACGGATTGACAAAGCCTTCAATTTCCTTAACTTTTTTCAGTTTTCTTTGGCCTCAGTGTTAGCACACTAAATTGTCTACTCTGTCCTATTCTCTAGTTTACTTTGAAACTTTATTATACGCCCCTCGCCCACATACGTAGGACTAGGTGCATTTCAAACTGACGAGTAAGCATGTACATTAACAGGATATCTTCAATGTCCTGGACTTCCTTGTTGTCTGATTTGTCACCAGTCCGAGGCTTCCAGACTGAGTCGCAGTTGCAGCAACTGAGCGTTCAGAATGGAACCCTAAGTCGCGATAGACATATCATACCGATGGCGCCAGAACATTATCCCGCCACATATGGACATAACGCAAATTCTCACTGTTTGCCCCACCTTCTTCTACCTCAGACGAGCTAGATTCACTAGACTCTACGCCATAATCTCTGTCGACTAAGAGTTCCAGCCACTCATGCTTCCAGAGCTCTCTTTCTTCTGGTCTGGTACCTTCAGTGAAGAAGATCCAAGAGAATATATTCCGCGTGGCGAGCTCAGAGAGTCTATCGTCAAAACCCTCCTCTTCATCCGATCCTTCGCGAGGGCTTGTTAAAGCAAGACCCCTAAGACATGAACGGATGGAAACAAGTTTTTCTGTATATGGGCGCCCAGGCGGGGATCACTAGTGATGACTTATAAATAATTGTATATGCGAGGCCAACCGTCCTCCAAGCCAGGTTTAAGACAGTACTCCTAAAGGTCATAGGCTCGATGCTCGATTCTACAGCTTTCGATCCGCGTGACATGCCAAAATCGTGAAACACTTTCTCCCCTTCGCATTTCCAGTTCCAGCAATAGTAGCTTGGTTGATGGTTACAGGCGCAGTGCAATCTAACATCGATCGAAGTATTTTGGAGTTCCACGAGGCCAAATGGACGATATGGAGACAGTGGAGGAGATATATACGTTTCTGAGTCCACATCGGTGATAAACAGGAGGTGAAATTCATCTTCCCGGGGAATTAGTTCTAGACCATTGTTCTTGTGGAGGGGCACGAGACGGTGGTATTGCGGATCCATGAATGACTGGGGAGATGCAGTCCATGTGACCGCTTCTAGGTAGACTGTTGGTAAATGCGAACGACACACTTGAAATATCCGGGGCAAGAGGCCAGTAGTTAGAGAGCCCAGCCACAGCGGAGCTATATTTGGTCTGCGTTGTGCCATAGCGCAGACAATGGCATGGCAGTTCTTCGATTGAAATAATGATGGAAAGATCTCCCTCATTGGAGGGTTCAACCATTGGCTGACTAGGTTGCATGGGATATCCAGTTCCCAGGAGCAACTAAATAAACAGGATGTAATCACACCGGATGTACATGATAAAGCCATGTAATGAGGGATCTCAGCAGGTGTTGGTATTGGTTTCGATACGTTCACTCGGTGTTCCGGTGCGAGATGGGGCTGTGTCCTGGCTGGGGCAAAGGCAAGGTTATGCTGGCCCCAAACCGGTTATGCAGTGGTATTGTCATGGTGGCAGCCAATGCACTAATCAATTGATCAAAAGCGTCGTGATATCGGGCCAGGTTGAAAAGGTACTCCTGTGCTTGTGCCGAGGACAGTGGCTCAAGGTTAATAGGGGAGATAGCGGATGGAAGATGAGCACGATGGTGCAGTCTAAATGGACTGCTGTTCTAATGGCATTCCCATGGTAAGTAGTACTCCTTACCCTCTCGTATAAGAGTTACCTACCAGCCTCGTCCCTCTGCAAGAATTGCAGCCCACCATTGAACTTCCGCGAAATCATCGGTTCCAATGTCAATGATGTAACTACCATCGGTTATTGGTGTATCAGTTTGATCTTGCTCATGACAGTCGCACTGAGCCTTGTTGTCAGTATAGACCACCGTGTAGTTCGATGTTGATCAGCGTATCTCTATCAACCGTGCCGAAAGAATATATGACCAGCCAAGAATGAAGACAGCAAGATAGTTGGACACGGGGTCTGGCAGGGGATGAAACCCGCTCCATTCTGGGATATATTCGCTGGAAAGATTGCAAGTGCTTGGCTTGGATTCCCCGATGTAGACATCTTGGGATCCAGTCTTTTTCGGGGAGGTAGCTCGCAAGCAGAAGGTCTATGAACCGGCGTAACTGACCAACTAACATACCCTTGTGTGTATAGAGAATTGCTCCCGATGCGGTCTGTGGCACCGCTGGATTCGGGAATGGACGGCGTTTTATTGAGAAAGGCTTTGACATTACAGCAGGCAGAAGGCAGATTGGTCGCAGACTGAGCCGCTGAGGCTACTGCTGACCATGTTGACCTCGAGCGAGTCAAAACCTCATTTGAAAAATGAAAATCTGGGCGCAAGAGGTCACTATCGTCGTTAGGCATAGTGATGGCCATGTATGGGAGTAGGCATAGAGTATCATTTGCATGTTACGGTCTAGGCACCGGCAGCAGCAATAATCCGGCAGGCGGCGGTCAGGTGAACGCCCAGCGGCAAGGGATTTAATCCCAACAATGAAATCAGTTTCAGGACTACGAATAGAAGTATCTAACTGTCACTACACAGAGGCTCGAGAACGTTTTGCCGCAACCAAGGCCAATATGTAGTACTCGCATATGCCGACGCCCTGCGCAAAAGCTTCAGTAACTTAAAAGCTCCATACACATCTCTCGTGTCCGCGGCAGCCGCCCTCCAAGGTCCTACGACATACTATAACCAGCGTGTCAGCTAAGCTTAGACAACGTGGGAAGAGAGTTACGAACAAGCCTGTCCGTGCCATTCTTAGTGGCACCAAATGTCACCCAGGTATGCCAGTCATGGCCAACAACAGTCCACCCAACCATTGGAGGTAGGTCGCAATACGGACGTTCCTCTTCGGAGGATTGACCCCAAAGTTTCCTAGTGTTTTCCATCCCGGCCGCAATCCAAGTAGCAAGTTGGGCAAGTGCTTCATCCTTCCCACCATTCTCATTTTTGACTTCAAGCCCGGAAAAAAGTAGCCACCGCTTCATAGATGAGTCCATCGTTTGGCTCAGGGCACCGCCCGCGCCTGCACGAACGAGGGCATCATATATATCCAAGACCTGTTGAGTATGTATATGAAAGGAAAACGCATAATCGCACTTCTTCTGGACGCGATGGTTATTCGGCATTATCGGGAGTAGCTCAGGGTTGATCGTCTGGGATTGCCTTAGGTGTTTCTCTTCTGTCAGCTGGAAATTCCTGGAAAAAAGACAGTAAAAGGTCAACCAGGAAGACCTTACACGCTTTCCGTTTTTAGCATACTACCCCTAAATGCAAGGTGCAGCATAGGATAGACCACCTGACTGCACCACGCATTCTCATCCTGTTGAAATAGGCTCAATTCCCGCGCGTTGCTCAGTATTTCCGTGATAGTTTCCCAGAGCAAGTCCAGTTCACGATCCGATGGATTATTTGCCTCATCGTATGCAGAGTGCGGTATTTCGTTCGCCATGAGGGGGAAAGCTGCACATATTCGGTCCTGCAAGTGAAGCATACAGAGCCTTTGGTGAGCTGAAGGCTTGTCTCGTTTGGTATAGCTTTGGTTTTACCTTCAGGCCAATGGGTATCACCCGTTCGTGTAGACCTTCAGTAAGGGTGGTGCATAACACGGTGGCATTCTCTGGTAAGGGAATCGTAAAGGGTAATTCACAGAAAACAGCGGGTTTCGACGCTCGCAAGTCATTCAGCAAGTCTCGGACCGGGCTCCCTGCGCGTTTCGACGTGCTAGAAGACAACAGAGCCTTGTTCTCTCGGAAAGCTCTGTAACCGCAATCGCGGACGCACTTTGGTCAGGGTGCACGTTATCGGCATCGTCCAGGACCCTCTGGCGTTTCGCAGGACTCGAGGATCGGGTAGCCATACATTGTTTTCGTTTCAAGGTACTCGACTGTGAGGATAGGGCTGTATCTGGTGGGGTAGCAATCGTTTCACAAGGCACATCGCGAAGCCAGCGCCAAACGGCACTGCTTTGAGGGTTCATGGCTGACGAGTCATGGCGTTGGGGGGGTGGGCGTGACTCAGCGAGCCAGCAAAATGTCCACCAGTCGAACAATGCAATGTGTTTATGGCTGAAGGGGCACCAAGGATCTGGCTAACCCAAGTAGTTGCAGAGTTGCATGCTCAGTAGGTCCGTATGGTTGGCTGCTCAAAATGGATGTTGTTTGTTTGTATTGGTGTATTTGGGAAGCGGTGACAACATCGAAAATGGCAGAAAACAGCCCTTCTGGAACCCGATTGGGCTAGTCTCCACCCTACTAATATACAAACAAACGCACCTGTAACAGGAAATATATATTCTCATGCATTTACAGATTTAGTGGCATATCGTCTGTGCGCCTTAATCATACGAAGCTTTTGTGTCATATGTCGTTTTGGTGTCGATGGTTTCCAGGTTTAATAACCACTACTACTCCCGCTGGCAATAACTGCCAGTGTCCAACCCTAAAGTATATATTTCGAAGTGCATTGGACGCGCATTTACCTTGGAACCAAGATTCAGCAAAACATATTACTAGGAACATTCCCCATTGATCATAAGGTGTATTTCAGTTTACCGCCGTCAAATACTATGTGAAACATCTCGAGAGGAATATCCGCACGCGCTAGCTGGAAACTCTAGAAGACGCGATATCCGGGGATCCGGATCATGCTCTAGATACATACAAATAGCGATGCACTCAGTGACAAGTCGACCAAAAATCCACGGCTGCCATTGGGATAAGGTACACATCAGACCCATCCACTGTGCCAGGATCAAAAGGGCAGGCGGATCTCTCCGTCTCAGAAGCGCAAGAAAATCGTTCGACAACTTTCCCATGAATTCTGCGCATTTTGCTGAGTTTTTAAAATTCTTTTCTAATTGGAACAAGGCTGCCAACAATGCGAGAGGCTCGTAGTATGAATTTGTCTTGGCCGTGGTAGATTCGTCAATCCCACAGAGGTCAGCCAGATCGGGGTCGAGACCCTCCCGTCCCTGTTTAACTACGTGCTCCAAGAATTGCACTTCGTCCTCGTGGGCATGTTGGAATGTCGAGGCCCAGATACTGGAATCAAGGTACGGCTTGGCGAGGGTTATGATACATCGGAGGCCACTCTGTAAACAAAGCCAGTTCATTGCATCTGACTTATCGGATAACACCCACGAATCCGTTGGCTTGATATCCTCAGGACAAAGACTGGTGAGGCCCATAAACATGCACGTTGAGAGGAGGGAATCAACATTCTTCGGAGTAACGTTGGAGGTAAGTGCCGCTTGGTATAGCTTAATTGCGCGCTGCCAGAAATATGTCTCTGCAAACTGCCGCGTTTTATTTCCGGGGGAAACGCGATTGAGGTGAAGGACGCCAACTGCAATTATTGTATACATCAAATACGGACTCTACCAGAACATCAGCTATTAGGAGCTGTACCGATCAAGTTAACAACGGGGCTGAGGCTCACCGTAAACGAAACCCGAATCATGTCGCTCCTCATGACGGCTCGGAGACCAGGGTTGGCAACTGTTTCGGTGGAGCACTTAATGAAATGTTGGAAGGCAACCATGCTGACGGGATAAACAGCATTTCGCTCTACCAGAGAAGTATTGGTGCCTGTATCCAGGTTTAAGACCTGCTCAATCCGTGTCGCTAGGTCACTCAGAGGAAAAGAAAATGTAATGTCGTCTGGCTTTTGCGTGCTTGATGCTACATCAGTTCTAGATCCCTTTCCAGATGACGTAGTGGAATAGCTGCATGATGCGCCGTATTTCTGACATTTAGTGCAGGTTGGTTTACCCTCGTCGCACTGCGCTCATGTTCAATATTAGTTCCAGAACAGCCGTCAGAATCGACATCCGCACTTTAACTCTCCGCTTCTTACAGGTTATGCAGCCCCCTCGCGACTTTCTATGGGGACGCCGCGCATGATATAACTTTTCTTGATTTAGATAAAGTGGCACTTGGAATACAGCCTGCCCAAGGCTGCTTGTTCGGGCGCGAATGTCATCCTGTGCGCCCCGCGTAATGAGACGTTGTTCGACAGACATGATCTCCTGCCCACTAGGTGTTGCCGGTAAATAAAAGCCTGACTGTATCGCAGGACTTGAGAAAGGGTAGTTGACCTGCTATCTGGCAACAGATCAATGTTTGGTGTTGATCTGTCGGTTGCGTGCATCGCCACACCGGGCGAATCACGTGCTAACCAATACGAGGTTGGCACGAACCTGGTAAATGGACAATCCTCTGCTCATGTGTTAGAAGGTCCGATCAATGACCTACGACTAGAAGAATTGCAGAACGCCGGTCATGTATAGCTGGTGGATTACGTGGGGAGGCACTGGTGTGGTGGTTGATTAAGGCGAATTTGCGGGGGTACCAACAAAGGGCAGGATAACTTAGAAGAGACCGACAAAAGGGCAAAAAAAAAAAAAAAAAACGAAAAGGGAAAAGTTGTGGAAATATTCTTAAGGTATAGACCAATTGCTTCATTAGAACAAAGTTTATATGATATACTACGTAGGTAAAGATACATATTAGAAGGAGAGACATCGATATGTACACCGTATGAGAATAGTGAGAATTGACTTGCTAGATCCAAATCGTACTGAGCGATGTGAATCATGGCTCTAAGCCCGAGGCACACTCGATCCGTAGTATAATAGACCTTCGCCTAGCCGGAAAGAGAGATCATGCCGTGTCTAGGCACGATTTCTCTACATTGGAGTGCCGGAAGGCATGGCACCGGAGGGAGAGCCCGAGGGCATACCACCCTCGCTACCAGAACCGCCTCCAAATGCAGCACTGTCGGTATTCTGGTGGCCACCGTTCTCGTCATAGTAAGCAGCAATGCTGTAGTAGGAGTTATCGGTGTAGTCGGCACTGGCGTTGATGCCAATCTGCTTCCAGGCAAAGAGGCCATCCTTCAGATCGTTTCCGAGGTACACATAGTCGGGGAATGGGTCGTAAGAGCTGGAGGCTTGTTCGATGGACCACATGTCATCAGCATTGCTAGTGATGTCTTGGGTATTGGTGGTGTAGGGGTAGGTGTCCTCGACGGCGGAGCGCAAGACCTCGTTCCAGAACAGCTGACCGATGTGTGCGACGCTGCCGGTTCCCACAACGAGTGTGCCATTGTTATCATGGACCGATGCATTAAGGTGAGTCAAAAGGTGGGTGTGAGTGGCACGACCGTCATAGTGACCCGGGAAAATGGTTTGGAAGGCCACAACGCCGTCTTGATCAGATTCCTGGATACCACGCAGGTAAGTGCTATCCCAGCCGTCAGCCGCATAGTTGCCTGAAGTGGATATGCCACTATATTTGAAGTCAGCAACCTATGTTCAATTACGGTGACTTGTGAGTGTGTACCTGTACACGCCGGTGGCGTTAGCATTCCAGATATCGACGAAGGCACCTGGAATTGGCTTGCAAGTGTTGACATCAATGTATTGGACCTCCAAGTACACGTCAACGCCGTCACAGTACTCGTCCTCCTTGACATTGCTCCTCTGCACTTCGCCCCATACATAGTATGGTCCGTCGGTGATCGTGGGAGACAAGATGGCACTGGTGTTACCGCCGAAGACCGAGCTTTCGGGCGTCTCGGCAGTAAAGTCGACCAAGCCGGTCATGTTGTGGTTGACAGCCTCCCACTTCTCCAGATCATCAGAGTCACGGCGCCACTTCTTGGGACCTAATAGAACCGTGAGTATTGAGTAACACATATTGACCTTGTTGTTCTGGCAACCTACTAGTCGTCACGCCACGGGCGTTGCGCAGCTCACGAACGGTACGGGCACGACGGGCGATGTTACGTTGCTGCAGTCGCTTGGCATGCTCACTAGTAGCACATGCATCGAGGCCACGCTTCGACCGGGCAGTAAGAGCATCACGAGCGTGAATCTCGCGCTTCAGCACATGAGGATCATGCTTCTCACCGGGATGCGCAACTGCGAGGGTCGCAGCGGAGAGAAGGAGAAATTTTGAAAAGTGCATATTGCTAGAATCTTTTTACCACTCAACGTGTAGATCCAGTGAAGAATTCTGAGCGATTTTGTTTCCGTTGGGTTGATAGCTGATTGATGTTTGAAAGTCATATATTTATAACCCAAGCGTGTCAACGGCTTCGGGAAATCCACGTCATCGGAGCAAGACGGCAGCCACCTTGCCGGCTCCTGTATGGACCATTCATGCAGGAAATGTTGTTCTAGTGCCTGTCATCCCGGAGGGAGATGCGTAATACGCAGTAGATGTAATACAATGGTTTCTTCGGCTTTTCCGCAGGGGGTCTCGTTGAGCCTGAAGAGATATAGCTGTCTTGGCGCCGCGTATGTTGGACCCGCATTAGGGCTTCGGCAAACGAATGGTAACCAGATTATTATGGTCTCCGTCTCTCTCATTGGGGAGCACTCGGCGGAGGAATTACGTTGGTCTGGGGTTCCTGCATCCCTCTGAAGCTTAGCGGCCCACGTCGCCTTATGCTAAGTACCGACAAAGTTGTGTTGATCATCGCCCACTTAGCCCAGATGTGGCAGTATCGGATGTTTATAACCTGATTCTTACAGTATGCCGGTGACAATTTTAACTTGAAGGAGTATATTTATAGTTCACCTATAGAAGCCCTTCTTATCATGATCAGTCGTGCTCAGGAGGTCCAGCCAATGAGTATAGGTTGATTTGTATCATGTCCATCGTACGTCCAATATGCCGGATGTGGGGTGGCCTACGTCTTCATCTGTATCGCTGTCTTGGCGCTTTCATGTGGTCAATGTACTGGCTTGGAACGATGTCGATGTTATTGAGTCGGTGTGAAAGCGTTATGAGACTCATATTGTGGGCGGGGATGGCGCCCTTTCAGATTACACAGGAACGCTGGCATGGCCCAATGGCTTCAGAAGGGCTCATTCCCCTGAAGGAGCTATTCAGCGATTTTAGTCTCTCCAAAGGAGGAATGAGGACAAGAGTTGTCGTTTCCCCATGACGAGCTAACCGTTCGTTTGAGAATGAACTTGTTCACTGGGCCGAGAGTCATTTAGCACCAGGGACAGACATGGCTCCATACGTACGAAATTCGACCCTTTGAGAATGAAACAACTATCGTCTCATAGGGATGAAATATTCTGGTAAGTTGTAACGGAATGAATCGGGAACGCTGTGGGATCCACAGAAGATTGGGCTAGATGCCCACCCTACGTCTGCACATTTTCCTTGGGGGATTTCCACTTTGCCTGGCTTTCAAAATCCTATGACTTTTGTAATGCTAATGTCGGTGTCCCAGTGAGGAGAGTCATGGTATGGCCGTACTCAGACCGAATATGACCAGTAGTGTATGAAAAAGCAGATAAACTAGTCTCTGAATAAGTGAACTCTTCTAATACAGCTTAGACAGGACAAGAAGCGGTTGTAAGTAGAGATTAAAAGACCATTTTTGGGGCGATATTTAAAGTGAAGTTCATATATAATTTAGATAGACGGGTGAATTCTGTGGTGATTCTCTTTCTGGGATCCTGAAGCGAGTGTAAAATAACCTCTTGTCTTCCTGGTTGAAAGTGGAAACCTCAGGCTGCACCAGACATGGCCCGTTATTTGCCCGCTATTTTAAATCGCCCAACGCGGGTCTCCTCCTTAGTTACCGTCCAACATATCAATCGCTATTATGCCAAAAACGCTCCCTCTCCTCAAGGAAGAGATAACGTAATCTGATGGCAGCTTGGTAGATCTAGCCAGATTTATTGACGCTTTAATTTGAACTGATCTCACATTAGCCAACGATGTTCATATCAGTTTCAAGGCTTTTCTTACCATCTTCAGAGCCGGATGATTCCTTTCTCAAAAGCCAACGTCTGAACGTCTCGGGGCCACGGCTAGCTCCTGAAATTCAATTGAGGACGGGTCGGAGGGACAGCCTCACAGTATTTCCTCTCGAATTTCGTCACATTGCCTTTTGCAATCAGGCTGTGCTGACTCTTTTACTGACATCTCGGTACTTGTGAATCCCAGTTGTCTGGTCACCAAATTCCATTCGGGCAGAGTTTCAGGAACTATAACAGGGCTTAAACAATTGTGTAGAGTCAGTCCGATCTCTTTCTCTCAATTCTCTGAGGCCCTCGGAGCTGACTTGTCCGACCCAGATACAGTCGGAGACAACACCCCCCCTGTTACAATGAACGAGCTGGGACGAGGTTATAACATATTGTAGCAGCAGATTTGAAGATGCAATGGAGTAGTTAGGCTCTACCAGGTTCGTGGAATTTTAATGGGTTGATTCGGATGTGCAAGAGGTGGCCATAAAACTGTACTGGGATCATGAAGATTCACCAAGATTCACTGGCACATTGACAGATATCTTACTCTGTGAATTGGGTCCTTAAGAAACTGACTCTCCAATTGTATCGTGAATTAACTAACTATGAGATGGTGTGTTACCTAATCATGAAGCGGCCTTAGACGTCAACAACAATCCTTCTTCTGTTGCGAACTATCGTCCCTCATCTTGCTTTACAGCCACCCATGGCGCAGGTCTACCGTCAATTGCTGCACTGGACGAAGTGTCACTTCCATCCTGAGGCGGACCACAATGTCGATATAAATGAAGGGGAGGTTAACCGAAGCAAAGTCATTGACCATTATTTGAATAGTGTAGCATTACGCCCCACAAGCCGACGAGAATCTAAGAAACAGTGGAGCTTGGCCCTCGATGAGAGTGGGGATATGCCAGACAGCGCAGGTCGGTATCTGTGCCTGACACTGGGCGAAGACATACTAACTCTGCCCAGAGCAACTCCTAGACGACTACGCCCTGGCGCTAAATATCACATCCCCGAATACTGTTGCTATGCGTTGCCGCATTGACGCTGTTCTGCTGTCGATTCTAGCCACTGCAAAGAAGGAAGAAACCAACGCTCGCGAACACACTGCACCGGACGCCGAAGACAGTCCGTATCTAGCCTTTCTGCCGAAAGTTTCTATGCTACATACCATCAAGGGAAAACGCTATACTCTGGAGTGTAATGCCGACAACATCCTATGGTACGGTGACCGCGATGAACTAGACACCAACCTACTTGTTGTTCGCAAGGAAAGTCCCTTGGATACTGGAGATTACTCAACGCTTGCGCCCATGGGTAAGTCCCTGCCTTTCTGGATACATCTCCTGGGGCAAGAAAGATGACTGAATGTTCTATAAAAACAGTCATGATCCACCGTGCCCACAGACTTGCCGGGCGTAAAACTGAGATCTATGGTATCTGTACCGATAGTTGCCAATGGAACTTCATACACATCAACAAAAAGGGCCGGGTACGTGAGCCTCATGCTTTGTATAAGGCTCACGTTCATGTTTTCAGGTCTCCCATTTATCACTGTACTGGTTGCATGACCAGCGGCAGATTACCAAACAGGTTCGCAGCATTATCCGCCAGGCAGTTACCCTTCATCAAAAAGCAAGTGGAAGTTCGAGACAATTGAGAACTTGCAGTGAATTGACCGGATGCAAGGTCTCGTATCAGAGTGAGCAGAGCGACAACTTCGATGTCATACTGGAATGACTTCTATATATGTCGTGATGAGAAATTGATGAGGACATTACAGGCATTTCGTGAAAAGGTATCAGGAACAAAATCAATCTAGGAATTGATATCACCTGATGATAATTGTAATCCTAGAGCGTAGCTAATCTTTAGGCTCACATTATTATAGAATCGATAAAGTCGCAGCACCTTCAACATGTTGTCATCCTCAACCATTAAAGTGGCTCCACCCTCGAAACACATCGTCGAGTCATCTCCAGGAGTATAAGCTTGGTTTTAGCGTAGACTGTGGGCATATACACCAATAATTCCATGTCTATCATGCTCGGCTTGTGATCAAAGTCGAATGGTAAATATATAAAGACTTAACCAGCCGCTTCGTCAGTTGCCAGGCTATGACTTCAAGTAGCTAGTGCTGGTCTATTTTTCTATGACGTTCGTGTCAACACAGACATAGCCAACAGAGCTCTTCGCGAGAGTAATAGCGTGCAATCTCTGATCCAGCGAACAAGATAGTCTTGAAAAAGGACAGTAGATCTATTATGTCTGCAAGGTATGCATCGATACCAGTTATACCGATACATCAAAAGCTTGATGATACGACACAGTGCCAGTCGGTGTTGGAGTACTCCAATTGAGAGCCATAAAATACTCCGGCGGCACACCTGGTAGTTGCAGAGAAGGCTCTACCTTGAAACCAAAGCGCGTATAATATTTGGGGTTTCCCAATACAACGCACCCAGCCGCATGGTGGGTCTGAAGACCCGCCATCACACGTTCTATTAACATCGACCCTATGCCTTTTCCTTGACACTCGGGTGATACGGCGACTGGCGCTAGCCCGTACCAATTCTCGCTGCCATCTGAGATTTTCACCGGTGAGACAGCGACATGGCCCACAATTCTATGTGTGACTTCGTCTTCTGCGACCAGAGAGATTGATAGTTGGTTCGCTTCGCGGAGGCCGCGGACGATGAATTGCTCCGTGTGGTCTGTATGCTCGGCATTTAGGAATGCGGTTGAAATGACTTCGTCGATTGCTGACACGTCGGAGTCCGTCTCAGGTCGGATGCGGATTTGTGTTTCGCTCGTCATTCTCATTGATCGTTTTCAGGGGCTGAGAGGTGTTTGTTGTCTGGAAGGTGCAGTTTTTTGCTCGAAAATGCTCATTTTAGAGATGGACGATGGTCGGAGAGCGGAACGCGATATATGGCCAGAATTTTGGGTGCGACCGGGAATAGATTGATGTTACATCCAAGGGCATGAGTCACAGAGAGCCGTTAGGCAAACGTATCGATATTTTACTAATGGCGGTTCCACTTTCACGAACTTGAGCCGATGAAACTCAACTTTCTACTGAGCTTCCAAGTCTCCAACTCGCCCAGCTTCAAATTTACACTTGAACTCTTTCTATCGGCCTCTGTCGTCATCCTCGGGACTGAGATGCTAGCTGGCTGAGCACAGGTCCCCATGCACCAGGGCTTCTAGCTCGCGTAGGTTGACCTTGTTATAATACGTGGGAGAAAGCCTTCTTGAAGGAGTGAACAGCCTTTCAGAGGATGACCTGCTATCTCCTCAGTAGTCCCATATCAATGTATTTAACCCCATTGGGATGAGACAATTTGCGTATAAAATAACTATTGACAGTATGGAAAGTTGGATCACAAAGTGGATATAGCGTAGGCATATTTTTTATGCTCTCACGGGGTTTAGGATATTTCGAACAGAGAGCAGCTGAAATTATCTGAGATTCATTGGGGGAAATACAGTCCATATGTGCAGGTATAAAATGGAACCGCAGGAAGACATAGGCGGCTTCATGCTGGGACAGATTCTTTACTATGTGCATTTAACTGAACCTCGAACTTCTCAATTAGCCTTCGCTATCCAGCCAGGAGTGTACAGCATATATAGAGAGTAGATAGTAATCAAAATAACCATATTACCTCGTTTATCGGTAAACAAGTTTTTATCCTGAGAGAATGCAATCTTAATATCAGCCAGTAGCCTGAACCATAGCTTAGTGAAGATATACCTTTCTAATATCAGGAATTCAATTAATAAAAGTAATAATTAATAGTGCCAGGTACTCCAGGAGCAGGCAGAGCGCAAAGACAATCTATGCAGAGTTACTTATGGGTTAACGTTGCATCCATATCCTCGATGATCATCTCCGCAGCCTTCTCTGCAATGGCATACACCGTCGCCTGAATATGCGCGCTGACTTGGAGAGGCATGACGCTGGCATCGACAACACGCAGGTTAGCTATACCGTAAACTCTCAGACGGCAATCGACCACGCCGGACTTCTCGCCTTCGAAGCCTCCCATCGCGCAGGTTCCGATCGCTGATCGTTATGTTAGCCCACCACAGTAGCAAGATAATGAAAGGGAAACTTACGGTGCCAGTCAGTGATGGTATAGTTCCGGACAAACTCGTCGTATTCGTCTATTTCAAGTGGTGCGTCGGAGCTAGGCATCGGAGGAAATACCCGGGAGCAAATCATGTCTGAAAGTGGCTTCGTTGCGCAGATTCGCTCCGTCAATCGCTGGCCGATCTTCATAACCTCCAGGTCTAGCTCCCCATGACCGAGGTAGTATCGTGGATCGATAATTGGCTTGTCATGGATAGTCGCACGGAGGCCAGCGTCCTTGTGTGGCAGGTGGATGGACCCTCGAGACCAGGGATATTGCAGCATCATAAGCATCGTACCATATTTCTTGCCCTCTTCTGATTTGAAGTATGGATTCCAGTTCCCGACATCGAAGAGATACTCGAGCTGACCCAAGTTAGCATGCTCCTGTAATTGGCGAGCTAGGATCTCATCTCGTTTTTTGCCTGTCTCTGTGGCCAATGACTCTGCTCTCGATCGGAGACCTTCCAGGTCCTCTTGACCGATGATCTGTGACAATGAACAATATGCGATCGAACACGGAAGGATTGTCCACGGCCCGGATTTCGTGTCTTCATACTCTCGACTCGCTGCCTCCCGAAGCGCTGAGTCCTGCAGCAGGTCATCCCGGGTGGGTATCTCAGGCGGAATTTCAAAGATTGTGGCTGTCACTGTATCATCCGTTAGTGAACGTTGCTTTGTGTGTCGAAGGATCAATATCTACTCATATGCTCCTGGAGGTTCTCTCCCACATTCGGATTCTCAACCTTGACAGGAATTCCAGCCGATCGCAGGACCTCGGCCTTGCCAACTCCAGATAGCTCGAGAAGCTGTGGAGACTGAACACTTCCCGCCGAGAGGATAACCTCTCTTGCTGCGTAGACTTCCCTTTCCTCATTATCGCAGAGGATGTTGACTCCACTCGCAATCCACCGGTCACCGTTACCATCCTTCTCGATTAGTACCTTTGTCACCATTGCCTCCGTAAGTAGCACCAAGTTCGGTCGTGCTGCGATAGCCTGATAGTAGGCGTTCGCCGAGTAACTCCTGGTTTGGTTGATGGGATCCACGGTGCAGATCATATTCCAAGCTCCTCTATTTGACCCGGCAAGGCTGTCTGGACTAGTAACCACCCCGACCGCATTGAGCGTCGCGTGCCAAAACCGGTGCGCTGGACCATAGTTCTGGATATGAGTTGTATGAAGGGGTCCAGCAGACCCATGTGTTTCTTCCTGGTAGTAGGAACGGTGCTGCTTTTGATGTGTGGCATCGGGAGGGTGGAAAGTCTCGGAGCGTTTGAAGTAAGGTCTTCCTAGTTGTCAGTCCACATGAATCCAAACCCCAGCGATCGGTACACATACAAAAGATCCTCCCAGCCCCATCCGTGGTTTCCCAACTCCTTCCAAGCATCGTAATCTTCTCGGTTCCCACGATTCCATGCCATGAAATTCAGGGCACTAGTACCGCCAAGTACTTTTCCCCGGGGCCAAGGGAGTTTCCGACCTGACAGTCCTGGCTGAGACACCGTTTCAAATTGCCAGTCATACTGAGACCCAATCGTCGAGCCGTAAAGACCTGGAATGTTAATTGCTTTCTCATCCAAAGCCGCAGGACCGGCTTCGATTACTCCGACCACGATGTCAGGGCGTTCGCTCAGGCGTGCCGCTAGCACCAAGCCTGCTGTGCCTCCGCCGACGATCAGATAATCAAACGCATGCGCCGCAAACTCATCGATACGACCCATGGTGCGACGGTTTGCAGGGGGATCTGAAGCTGTTAGTGTCAGGTTAGACACGTCCAGGCGGGGTTGTTGATATAATGCACGCATGATATTCTCCGACTGGCTGATCGTACCATGCGATGTTGGCACCTCCAGCCATCTCACCGACGATCATCACCATGTGGGGTCTAGAGAGGCCAAGCTTCACGGCCGCGGCCCATCAGGAATAGAGTCTAGTGGCTGAGGCATTTGTGGGTTTCCCTGCTGTGCTTTTCGGGTTGGATCTGGTCTTTACGTCGATGTCTTTCTTTCGACCAATACATCCCGGTGTAGGTAACTTATTAATTCACTCCAAGAGGGCCCGTACGCTGCATGGCTTGTACAATCTACTGTCCGGAACATAGTTCACTCTGGCGGTGAGGTTGACTGCCTAAATTATATGGGTATAAATGCATTGCGCGATGCTACAAAACAAGTCAATCATGTGGCCTTTACCTCAATCTATCGTATGCCTAGTCCAGATCATCATCATTGACACACACACACACTGTATTGCCAAGGGCGTAAGGTTGCCATCGACTTGTTAAATAAGCTATACAGAAATCACGATTTAGCCCTACTTTTCCTTCTAGACAACTTACTTCAATCTAAACCTACAAAAATCCCATTCGCATCTAAAAGCCAAGCACGTTCAATCTCCCGAGATTTATCCAACGAAATACCCCAAATGCAGCCGATGATCAGTAATCATGCAGTTTCACGGTGGTGGGCCCGACCCACAGTTTTTCCGATATAGTGCGAACGAGGGTCCCAAAGCGGAATAGCAAGGGAAATGCTAACTGCGTTAGTGGCTTGGATCAGTGATTTTGCTTTTTCGTTGCCGATGGGATTGGCCATGGTTGGAATTGTATTGTGGAAGATATATTGGAGTGATTCTATGGTGATGAGGATGTGTGCTGTTTTGCTATGCATTTTTGGGATTTGGTCTGGGATCGTGGTGCGGGTGATGGTGGAAATATATATATTCAATGGTGGAGTGCGGTGCTTCACTGTTGTATACTTAAATATATCTTCTCATAGGGAGAATTTATTATACAATTCTGATATTGCAATTGTCCGACAAAATTGAAAAAGATAAAGACACAGCGGCTTGGGATTTCCTCATGCTGTGAAGAAGTGTCTATATCACAGCACAAGGTAATCAAGCAGAAGTATAGAACACGAGGAATATTTGGTCATTTTCACTGTTGGGCTACAAACTACGTATACTCGGAGCAGCTCGAGACTAAAGTAGATACCCCCGACAAGAAAAAAAAACAGATCGGCCTGGGTGTTAAAGTAACTATCTCTCAATTACAAGGTTGACCCTCAACCATAGAGGGACAGCATAAACCGAAAAAGATACGGTCTACTATATAATGTACAAAACACCAAAGCTCTAGACAACGCGGACACCAACCGTCTATTTTCTATTCTGACTAAAAGACAACCTCCTTCCCAAAATCAGATCCTCACTTAAAGGTACTGAGAAGAAAGGCACTGGCTGTAGTAAGGGTTCCAGACCTTGCAAGTGAGACCAGACTCACACTGCTTGCTACCGGTGTAGTTGATACCACCGCACTGGTACCACTCCTTGACAGAGCCACCGGCGCCGGAACTAGGCTGAGGAACAGAGTTAGTGGGCGAAGCAGAGGATGGAATGGCGGAGGTGGTGGAAGGAGTAGCGGGAGCAGTGGTGGAGACAATGGCGGAGGTGGTAGAGGTCTCAGTGGGAGTGTTCTCAGTGGAAGGGACCTGAGTGGAAGTGGTGGCTGGCTGTTTGGCGATGGTAGTGAATCCAGAGGGAGCAGGAGCAGCACTGGTAGATGCAGGAGCAGATGCAGAGGCGGATTCTGATGAAGAAGAAGACGAACCAGAAGCGCCATCCCAGACGGCAGGGCCAGGGATGGGGTAGCTGTCGAAAGAGCTGTAGATGTCGAAGAGGACACCCTTGTCGGTGGCAGTGTAGGCGCCGGGGATGGAGACACCCTCGGGGAGAGTCTTGGAGCCGGAAGAGGTGACCTTGACCTGGACACACTCCATGTAGAACTGGGCACCACCCTCGCGGTTACCCTCGTGGAGAGCGATGATCTCAGGGCGGAAGAGGTACTCGCCGGCAGCAACGTCGGGAACGGTGATGGTGTGCTTGCCGCGGTTCTTGATCAGGGTCTCGACGGCCCAGGTGCCATCGGTGTAGCCATCCTCGGCAATCTTGACCCAGCCGTTGCCAGCAGTGCCCTTCTCAGTAGGGGCCATGTAAGTCATGACGGGGCCAAGGTGGGAGGAGGCGATGATGTCGTCAGAGTCGCTACGGGAGTCGTGGTGCCACTCGAAGGTGACCTTGTCACCGGCCTTGACCTCCAGGGTCTTGGCGGTAGCCTTGTTGTTAACATTGCAGGTCATGTCCTTGGAGGTGACATCGGTGATAGGGCTGTTGCTGGGGGGAGTACGGATGTAGCCGCTCTCACTGTTACCTGCACCCTGGTCGACATCGTTGATCCAGACAGCGTGGACGGTGGCGTGAGCGCTGACGAGCTTAGCTGCTGCTGCCAGAGCGAGCATACCATAGGTAGAGGACTTCATTTTGATATAAAGAGTGTAAGACGTCGACTAGGACGGTAAAAAAGAGTGTAAAAAGTGAATGTAAGTAGGAAAACAAAAGCAGAAAGGAATGTTTAGCTATCCAGGCTTGAGGAATGAAACGAGACCTATCGAGGGTCCGGCGGAGGGCCTTTTTATACACATCGACAACAGCTTCGAGCTCTCTTCATGGTTCTGGTAGATTAAACGGTTCGGGATGGGGGGCAGCCTGAGATGAGCGAAGCCCTGCCAAGAAGCGTCAACCGCTGATGCCAAGAATGAGACGTTTCAGCTAAATTTCATATCTTCACTAGCTTAGGGCTCTACTTGATTTATCCGACTTGGCAATCATGGCTTATTGGCCTGTGGCCTGAATTACAGTTGGTGGGATCAACTCCGCTAGGGGCCGTGAGATGCCCTAACCTGATTCAAGTTCCCGGCACGAATCATGGGCATTGGAAAAGCACCGACCACCTCACCTGCTAACGAGTCTGATTGGGTTTCTTGCTTATAGTGCTGCAGCGGTGGCCTTGGCAGAGGTTTTCTATATTGAATTGTTTCATTTGATATTGGTGGTTCCTATGGTTCGCTTTCGTAGCTTAATGAACTAATATCCCGAGTGCCGGTTATAGCCCCTTTTGGACCAACCCTCCTGGCCCTTCGATACACCCCGTTGTAGAGTGTACAAGAAAGAGTCGAGGATCATGAAAACCAACACGCGCTGTTAGAACGCTATGGCATTTGACGCTCCACGCAACTACCGGTAGGAAAACTTCGAAGATAGCGGCGCCAAAGATTGGCAGGGCGAATGCGCCTCCTGTGACAGGTTAATGCAGGAACAGAGGCGCAGAGACGGGATGGTAAAACAGAGTGGACACGAAGGAGAGTGATGTGCGCATTAGCCGCCAGGAACCATAATTGTGCTGCGCTTCATAGATTATCATCGGAAGCCTGGGAATTCGCAGGCGGTCCAACTACTTCGGATCCGTTCCGACCGATATCAGGGTCCATTTTATTTCTCCACTTCGGCGGCGCATCGGCCATTCCCTAAAAGAGAGTTGCTCCGACGCCACTCTTAGATTGCGTTTCAAAGTACTACTCGTAGTCTCATACGGAGGGCCGGATAATATCAAGCAATTGTCCGGTGCATTTAGCCCACCAATCAGCGGCACGTAGATAGGCTACAGAATATACGGAGCATTCGGCCTTGGTCTACCCCGTGGCCAAATAGGTGTCTGGGAGTCCCTTCCTTGACCTAGTACTACGAATCGGTGATCCATCTGGTTTCAAATCATAGTCCAGATGCCACATGGAGACAGGGTTTACGAGGTACCCTTTCTGTTCTACCGAAGTTACGGCACCCTAGGGCGAGTTATCTCTTTGCCAGGGTCCCTGGCCGTGTGAAATGAGCACAGCGGCACTAATAGCCAGGTTAATACTTTTACCTGGCTTGTGATGCTTCGACCAGCATCTAGACCTGTCTTTGACCGTGTGGCAAGGTTCCGGTTAATATACATCTTAGTTAAGCCGGATATTATTTACATGGTAGGCAGTGCTGAGAGAGCTTGGAGTTGGGTCCCCGAGCGCACGGTAACTAATAAGCTATGAAAAGTGCTTCTTAATTAAGGGGAATAGTTGTATTTGTCCTTATCCATGTAAATATCAATAGTCTGGAGTAAGAATAGATCCTGGTAAACCGAGGTATAACATGAAATGGTATCTGCGGCCTACCAGAGTCCGAGACAACATCCAGAACACACAATGAATACGAGAGGGACTATAACTACCCCGTAGACTATTGAAAGCCATCGTGGATATACGTTATTTTTAGTGTGACGGTCGAGTACTCCGTAGGCTACGACAGGAATCATGCCATAGCATCTTAGCTAAGGGCCGAGAAAGCAGCTAGAAGACAATAATCCATTACCTGCCTACCACATTAAGGCATTCCAGACACAATCGATCGATTTAGCGCCACAGAATATTCCCGATGTGGGCCGGACTAGTTAGAACGAAATATAGGTAAACCGGGACTAATAATAATCAAGGCAGACCCAGTGGGACTTGAAGTGATTAATCATTAAATAGCAGCACTGAAGACTAGGCTCCCCATATCGCGTGGTTCTAGCGTGATAGAACATTCCAAGATTTCCTAGTTCACCTTATGTTTATTGTTGGAATAATCTCCCTCTAACCGCCCCTGAAGATATCAACGACGATCTCACCAACAGCTGAGCAGAGCATCTTGGAATTCACCCTTTCGTAGAGCGGTGTACACCTTGCTAATCTGCGTTCCAATACATTCCTTCTTGTGACGTCCCGTCAAATTATACGTCGGGTGGTCGGCGATACCTCGGTGCATTGGCACGGCAAGTTTCTCTCGGACAAAGACGTAGAAACTTCGTGACGCACTGCAGAGGTATGACTTGGTCATCTGTTTCGTGAGAAAGGTTTCTCGTACTGCTGCATAGCTTTGTCCTAGAACATTGCATATTCGGGTTTGCCAATGCTGGGCTGATTCAAAGCCGGTCAGCGCACTATTTGCCGGATTACTCTCTGCTGCCAAGGATCTCAGGAGGATTCCAACAGAGTAGCTTGCGGTTAGCTCGCATCGTTCTGTGAGATCACAGGTGCTCGTTCGTGCCCAGTGATTCATTAATTCTTCCCAGAGTTCGTCTTGCACTGCCGGTAATCGAGCACCAAACGTCGATGAGTAAAGCTCAGCTGTAATCTCGTCGACCTTGACCCGCGCATCTTTCACAAATTCCAAATGAAGCGCCCGCAGATCAAGTGCCTGGCAGAGTACGTACAGGTATGTGGCGGTCATTAGTGACAGAACTTCCACGGCATCCGCAGCATAACGACAAGCAATGAAGGCTAGCGAATTCAGACCCTGGTTGTGCATCTCCGCTGATTGAACATGGTTACTGACGGGATGGTTCAGATAGGCTAGCTCAGACATGTACGACGCCATATTGATATCCACCCCCTTGAACGCAAATGATAAACTGGGATCATCGACACTGAGGTTGGGAGGAAGACCCCGACTCAAGGTCGGATTGATAATTTCAGAACATTGGGAGAAGATCATCTTGCCCAACATCTGCATCGCGCCCATTGTCTTTTCCATGGCAGATGTGACCGATGCTGCCTGAAAGTTGCCTCCGTGATGGATCTGGGCCTCCTCTGGATCCAGGAGCGGGTTGTCCGTTGTGGAGTTGAGTTCGGTGACAACCTGTTTCAAGGATAATGCCATATTCTCTATCTGGGGTCCAATCCATTGGGTCGACGTCCGCAGGGCGTACCGATCCTGTGCCAATCCTCCATGATTGGCAGTTTCACTGCCTTCAGTGGGATTCTTTGCTAACTTAGAATCGGTCAACATCTTGAAGATATTGGCTGCCGCTTCCCGTTGGCCGTCATGGGGCCGGGCATCGGCTATGAATGGATGGTAGTTGTATCTGGTGCCCAGTAAAGCTTCGGTGCCCATGGCTGTGAGTACCTGGGAAAGTAGAACAAGCTGATTCGCTTCGAAGAGGACGAGACCAGCTGCGCCGGCGCTGAAAGCAGTGCCGTTCAAGAGACCCAGGCCCTCCTTGGGACCGAAGTCCAACGGTACGAGTCCTGCCTCTTGTAATGCTTCATCAGCAGGCATTATCTCATCACCAGCAGCCTTGTGCATTGAGATATCCGGATTACCCTCCAATGCGCCCGCGATGTATGCTAGGGGAGTCAGGTCTCCGGAAGCCGATATACTGCCGCGTAGTGGTACCACTGGGGTCAGCCCATGAGCAAGTAGAGTGAGGATATGTTCGACAACCTTGACTCGAACAGCTGAATGGCCTCGTAAGAGTGAATTACAACGCGTCAGCATAGCTGCCCGAACTAGCGGAACTGGCATGCAATGGCTCTTCAAGTGCTGCAAGCTAGGGACTGAACTTCCAAAACCGCGATCGCTCGGGAGTAGTACCGCTGCATTGTGATGCTGAATCAATGCCTTCTGTAGTGTCGCATAGTCATGGGTTCTGGTATCCGCGCTCCCCCCGAATCCTGTGCTAACACCATATATGACTTCGCCGTTTGCCAGTTTTTGACTTAGCAGATCTACGCTGTGGTGCATTCTATCCAGCACATGTTTATCATCTTTTATCGACGCAAGGATTCCGTTGCTGATAAGTGGGCGATTAGACAAATTGAAGGCCAGAGAAGTGGACGTGCCTTACTGAGCAACGGCGAAGACAGAGCTGAGGTCCAAGGAGTGTCCATCCAGAACCACTCCCTTGCCCCCATCGGCGAACTCCCGTAGCTGACGACAGGAGGATAAAACAGATGCAGTATAAGAATGCTTCTTGCTATGGCGAATAGAATTTCTTCGCTGAGAGATACACTCCACCCTGGGCACCGAAGGATCTCCCATTTTGCTTGAGTTGGTAGTATGGTGCAAATGTACTGGATATTATCTTGTAAAATTGAGCAGTGTGAAACTCTGAAGAATTATAAGGCCTGAGCCGAATACTCTAGCGGTGAGCAAATGCTTCCCTTACGTGGTATCTGCTGTCGATATGAGCTAGAGAAGATGCTTAGCGTTTTACACATCAGAGAGGGCGCATACACATCACACGAGCTGCAGCCAGCTAAGAAGAACAAAAAGCGCCGATGGCCAATGAACATGAATACCGAACCCTGCAGGCTGCGATGCTTCCGATGGCAAATATATTGGTATTCGATCGCTGCGTAGAGTTCAAGCAAAAACTGGGCGGCGTGCATTGAGATCAATTCAACAACACTCAGCAACCCTATGCCTTTCTTGTCCAAGCAATCCTCTTTGTATGGGAATGAATCCCTGTCTATAGCCAAGCCACATTATTGAAAAGAGCTCACACACCCTGGAGAATATTCTCCTTCACTGCCCAGCGGCATGTTTGCCTATAGGGCTAGTCGTCTATTCAACAAACTTTGCTGATGGCGTCTTCGATCAAGCTCACTGGACATAATATCTAGAGTTTCAACTCGCCTGTACGAGCAACCATGGGTTTGGAAATGCCCCCTTGCGTCTACGAGGCTTGGCGAGAGCCGAGCTCAACCCTCCTGCTTTGGGAGAAGAATTGCCCAAGTGAATTCCTCCAGGATAACGAGTATCACGCTCAATCTGCAGTTCCCTGTCCACGAACCCAGGATTGAGGGGATTTCTACTTCGACAACCTGTGGATTTCAGTGTCACAATTCTTTTGGCCTTGAGTTGGGCGTAGGGCTTAGTCTGGAATATCGAGGAACGGGAATACCCTGGCCCTTTGAACCACTCTAAATATATCGACCTATAATAGCAGCCGAGGAGACAAAGAAAGTCTGAACCAAATTTCACAGCGACGGAGATCTTCGTTGTCTCACGAGATGTAGGTAATAAATTGACCCGGACAATTATTCCTATCAGGGTTCCAACTTGGCTCCTGACTCAGGCCTCAGGCACCCAACCCAACAACGCCCAACCGACAACATTAGGCAAATCAGAAGACTTCAGTGATGCAGATTGCCACGTCGGAACCTGTCTGAAGGGGAACTTTTAGTCATTGAAACGCAGGGTGACTGATCCAAGATGACATAATGAGGCATCAACCCCGCATTTGGCCAGAGAGATAAATAATGCCCTATCTTATCTCTTCCCCTCACCCTGCAGTCTGGAGATATCAGGTAACCCTCAACAACCTTCCCAACTTCACTCACTCACCTACCTCGCCATGACGATGGATACAGAGATCAAGTACATTCTCAGCCTCCAGGCCGTCCGTGAACGCGCTCACCGTGTGTTCCAGCTGGCTGAAGCCAACCAAATCAACCATTTCGAATATCACGAGGACCGCTTCGACGCCGCAGTTCAATATGTAGCCAACATCATCACGGTAGACTACCTCAAAGGCCATCCATACAGCCACAAGCTGACCTTCTCTAGCGCGACTTTGGTCCAGACAAATATCATCTGATCCCCCCTCACGGCCGGTGGCAGCACTTCGACGTCGGTGGGATAGCCCGTGTGAAGGACCTCCTTGCGCGATGGGAAGCGGCGGGGTATGACAAGGACGAACAAGCTCGCAGCCTAGTCGATTTATTCTTTGTCTCGGTTCTGCTCGATGCTGGGGCAGGGGATAAATGGCGTTTCACCGAGCCGGGCAGTAAGACAACCATTGGCCGCAGCGAGGGCATCGCCGTAGCGACGTTGCATATGTTCAACGATGGCGAGTTTGCTCTTCCATCCAGTGATCGAAAGGACATTGTTCTAGGTCCGTTACCCTACCATCGTTAACCTCCCCCTCTCGGATTCCCGCTAAGAAAAACAGGCGCCTCGCTCAAGGACTTCTCCGATGCAACCCTATCACGCGGCTTCCAGATCACAGACGCTAACCCGTTCGTCGGGGTCCCTGCAAGAGTCGAACTAATCAAGTCTCTCGGTCGCTCATTGCTCAGCCTCCCCGATATCTTCGGTGACACAGGTCGACCTGGGAACCTTGTCGGTAAGCCATCCGTTCATTCCCACCCTCCTCATGATCCATGGCTCACACGGATCAACAGACTATCTCAAATCTCGCGCCGACGCGTCCAACCGTCTCGACTTCGAAGTATTATGGGAAACCCTGCAAAGCGTTCTCCTGCCCATCTGGCCATCCTCTCGAACGCAGATAGACGGCCATCCCGTCGGCGACGCCTGGCCCCTAAAGGCCCTGGCAGATGACGCCCAGAAAGCCGGTCGCCAGTCCAAATGCTCACACATCCAGCCGTTCCACAAGCTGACGCAATGGCTTGCATATTCCCTAATGGTGCCGTTTGAGCGCCTGCTCGGGGTGGAGTGGAAAAACGCCGAGATCGCAACAGGACTTCCCGAGTACCGAAACGGAGGACTGTTCGTTGATTTAGGCGTTCTGACTCTGAAGGGCGAGAGTCTGCAGCGTGGATTGGCCAACTCGGGTAGCGCTTTGCCTGCCTTTGAGGCGACGAGCGATGAGATTGTTGAATGGCGCGCTCTGACCGTGGCGCTGCTGGACAAGTTGCATGTTGCGCTGAGGGGCACTGAGTTGGGGAAGGAGAAGTTGAGCCTTCCTCAGGTGCTGGAGTCGGGGTCGTGGAAGGCTGGGAGGGAGCTGGCTGCGCAAAATCGACCGGAGACCAAGTCTAGTCCGATCTTGATTTTGGGGGATGGCACACTGTTTTAAGGCAGTGGTTATTTCGGGGTTCTTGGTTGCACTGGAGATGACTGGGTCATTGGATTGGAGGGTTTGGGGTGTCTATGGTAGGTTCACTGGCTTCTATGGATCGTTTATATATAATCCAAGATTTCAGGTCTGTATGAGGAGTATTCGAGGCATTATATAGCACGGCTGGTACATTATACATCATCCATGTATATTTTGAGTAACGCAGCATAGTACAACAAGAAGGCCAAGCAAAAAACCAAGAAATTGAATGTCCCATTCATCTATTTGCCCATCAGTCTGATATCTCCTTGGAAAATATAGATCGCCGGAACTCGGACTCTACGTCTGCCGTCTCCATCAATCAACACCCACTCGACCTTGTCAAAACCCTACAGTCGCAACGTCACCTCCCCACGACGACAGACCCTAGGCCCTGAAAAGTTGAGCTACACCAGATAAACTCCCCCGGGAGGCAACTTAGCCGGACTACACCCGAAAGCAATCTATTGATGTGATCCACAACTCGTATAATGCAGGAAAGATCGGATGCACGCTGATAAACAGCAAAGTCTAGAACACACCGACCCGACTGGGAGATGAGACCAAGTACATTAAGCGAACAGGTCCAGGAGCAGATCCCAGCACACAGAACAGGGTCATATGACATATAGAACAGGTGCAAACCATGGTCGAGCCCCAAGACGAGGTTCCTGGACCGGCCCGGCGATGATGCTAGATGATACGGAAACCGGTGGCGTTTGTTTATTGATGTATAACTAACTTAGTGCATGCATTGCTATGCTTGAGTGCCTGATCTAGGACGCTCAAAAGCGTTGTACGTAACTTGATTCATGCAGCCACGGAGGAAATACTTCTTACAGGGCGAGGAGTGTCTTGTAATCCCCGTGGAAGCCCGATTGATACGGTCGCCTAGTCATTTACTAGAACATGCCATGGCAGGTCGCTTTAACGTGAATCACGAGAGAACAGTCCATTATAACCTTCTCGGCAAGTGATTTCTCATGGAAGTGTCGATGGGACGGCAACTGGGCCGATCATAGGGGTATTAGTATATTAACCCCCATCCCCTTGATACGACATTTGGAGTAGGATAAAAATTTTATACGAGGCATAAATCTACGGAGGACTCTCCTCCTAAGCTCCCTAAGAAAAGGTTTTAGTCACAGGGTTCCAGAATCGTCCTAACACCCGAAACATCCCGATTCTGGACGTTATGATCGACCTCTCCAACGATCCACAGTAGGTTGAAACAAATTTTCAACGCACAAAGGCGTCGTGACTCGTGAGAGAGCCTTCGAAAATTTCTTTTGTGATGACGTCGCGCAGGGTTGTGTGACGGTATCAAGTACTCCGTAGTCCCGGCAGGTTTTCCAGATCTCATTAGCAGATGGCTCAATGCCAGTAAAAGGCTGGAAAAAGAGATCTGAGAGGCCTTTCCTAGCCAATGAGCTACCCGGGTTGTACAAGACTTCTGGCCCTTTTTTCGGGACCGGAAACAGAGATGTTCGGTCGGTAGCCAATGCCGAGGCTCTTACCCAAATCGAATAGGAAAGTGCGAGCTTCTTAAGTTTGAGATGTGGATCCGTACCAAGCATTGGGAGGATTTTTAAAATGTGGGTAACCCTCAACATGACCATCCTGTACACCGTACGTGGGCATCTCTCTAGAGAGAGACTGCTTTGAGAAAAGTCTTTAGAGTATCAGGTTGCTCGTGGTGTACAGATGCGGATGAGGACTTAGAAGATATATCATACTGCAGCGTCACTGCTGCATGGAGTGACCGGAGGCGCCGATATAGCGTCAGCAGCGGTGAGAATTTTCGGTTTCGTTTCCCCGAAGATGTCCCGAAGATCCATATCGACCCCCGATCGAATAGCGTGGGATGCTGTGGCCCATGGGGTGGCAACTGACCGAGTCGGGCCGGGGGAGTTTCCAACGTAGTATGGAGTTAGGGCAGCGTCGGGATGCCGAACTGGAGACGGCGTGGGGGTTGACCTCATTCTTCTCCGGTGATCTCGGCCGGATTCCGATCGCTGTAAATGGTTCTGGTGTTTGCCTCTGTTCCTGTCCCTGACCATCTCAGGGGATAATGGCCTGATTTGTGAAGGGAAGATTGACCTCGAGCCGTGGAAGAGTTCACGGGATTCAAGTAGATCTCTAGCTATGTATTGCTTGTCTCTTGGATAGGCCATTGATATCTTGGATGAGTAATGAGGTTTTTCCCCGAAGTTTTATAGACTTTCCTAAAATGGAAGCCTCTTCGACCCACTGGGAGAAGTTCCTAACTGCGTCTTCCCCCAACACTGAACGGAGGTAGCGGCCCCCGTGGAGAACGGAGAACGACAAACTTTGCCTGCTCAAGTGATGCGTTTTGTGGACTGCTTAGCTGGCCACCGCGTGATTTTCTGCCCTTCTCATAGTGTAATGACGCAGGGTGCAGCAGGGTCGTAAGTTGGATTGATCCATGGTCAATCTACTATAATACTGCCTGTTCCTCTCACCCCGGTCCTCTTCTCCCCCATTCTCACTACTCCAGTCCACGTCTTTCCACCTTTAATCACCACTAATATGGAGACCGAGAAGACCTACACTGAGAAGCCCCAACCGGGCCTCTCGTCTCACACAGAGGACGCCGCCTCCAGTTCACAACACATCCCGGCCACAAGCAAGACAGGCCTTGTGGTCGGCGGCAAACACGCTCAATCATTGTCCGACAGCTCCTCCCTATCATCAAGTGAGCAGAACATTACCACCTTCGACTTCGACCTCCCCCCTACTGCCACACAAGCCACCGTCCACGATGGAAAGGAGCGTATCCTCCTCGACTTCGTCGAGGGCGACAAGGAAAACCCCTTCAACTGGGACCCCCGGTACAAGGCTTTCATCTCGGTGCTCCTCTGTCTCATGACGCTCTTCATCGGTCTCGCAACCACCGCCTACAGTTCCGGTATCGACCGCATGACAAAAGACCTCGGCGTGTCCACCATCCTAGGCCAGCTGGGTCTCTTCACCTTCAACTTCACCTGTGCTCTCGCCCCCCTCTTCCTGGCCCCCTTCTGCGAGCTCGCCGGCCGCCGCGTCATCTACGTCGGCGCCTACATCTGCTTCGGCCTAATGTTCATCGGCCTCGCGCTGGGCAAGAACATCGCCACCATCCTCGTCTGCCGCGCCCTCCTCGGCCTCTTCGGCTGCGTCGGCACCATCCTCGTCGGCGGCACCTTCGGCGACATGTACCGCCCCGAAGAGCGCGCCATCCCCATGGCCAGCTTCTCCTACATCGCCATCCTGGGCACCGTCGGCGCCCCCATCTACGCCGGCTTCATCGACCAAGCCCTCGGCTGGCGCTGGGTGGAAGGCATCCAGGGGCTCGCCAACATCCCGCTCGCCATCGTCTGCTTCTTCTGCCTCCGCGAGACCCGCGGCAGCGTCGCCCTCGGCAAACGCGCAGACCTCATCCGCCGGCAAACCGGCGACGAGCGCTACGTAGCCGCCACGGACCTCGAAGCGCCCGATATCAAAACCATGCTGTATAACTCGTCCATCAAAGCCGGCAAGATGCTCATCACCGAACCCGTCGTCTTCGCCTTCGGCCTCTGGATCGCATTCGCCTGGTTCCTCGCCTTCCTCTTCCTGTCCGTGATCCCGATCACCTTCCAAGAGAAGAAAGGCTGGGGCGAGGGCGTGTCGGGACTTCCCTACATCTCACTATGTCTGGGGACGACGATCGGCTTCGGACTCAACTTCCTACAGATCCGGAAATACAACTCGATTGTCGCGCAGAACGGGACCGCGCCGCCCGAGGCACGACTATACGGCGCCCTCTTCGGGGCCGTGTGGCTCCCCGTCGGCCTGTTCATCTACAGCTTCACGCAGTACGCGTTCCTGCACTGGATCGGGCCCTTCATTGCCCTCGTCCTCATCACCATCGGCATCTTCTTCATCTTCGAGTCGTGTTACTCGTTTACCTCCGACTGCTATGGCGAGTCGTCCTCGTCGGCTATCGCCGGTCAGGGCTTCATGCGGAATACCCTCGGCGCGGTGTCGCCGCTTTTCGCGTCCCAGTTCTTTCATAACGTGGGGAGCCAGTATGCAGGGCTTATCCTGGCTTTGGTGGCGACGTTTTTGACGTTTATTCCGTATGTCTTGTTCTGGTGGGGGCCGGCCCTCAGGAAGAGGTCGAGGTTGGCTTCGACCAATACAGGGTTTTAGGTGAGCTGGGCTCGCTGTGTTGGGGGATTTGGTTGTTTTGTTGTGGGATGATTAATGTAGATATGTTGATGTGATTGTAGATACATCGTTGGATATGATTATGATTGTATAATAATAGTCATCGTTTACGAAAAAGTACATATTTTGTTTGAATGGGTGTTGTGTTTCTAGGTCTTGTCTTCTTTGTAGAGGGACGTGTGTCGAGAGGCCATGCGTTCTACAAGACTTGTTACATTACCCATCGACGTTGGAGGAGCCGGTGAGCGTTTAAGATACGGAGAGTTAATGGATCCCAATGGAAGTTCAGGGGTCGATCATTGAGACAAAACTAAAAAACACCGAACACTGCCAGGCATATACAAAACCAGGTTCTAGGGTATATATATACTGTTCATGCCAAAAGGCCTTTACCGGCCACCCACAGCACCCACACGAGCTTGTAGCACAAGAACATCACCCACGATACGATTCTCAGTACGAACCATCGCCTGTGCGACCGGTCCCAGAACCCGGCTGGCTTCGGCGCCAATCTCTTCCTGCGAGGATGAAGAGGGGTCGCTGAGATCCACTCGGTTGTTGCCTCGTCCCACCACGACGATGTTCCCGGCCTTTTGCGGAACCTTACCCATCTCTTCTTTCACGGCAGTGACCGCGACACCCACAGCGTCGGTGCTGCCTCGTGATGGGCTGACACGTTTGAAGACGACCCGAGAGCTCAGCTCTTCAGAAAGGGAGTCCTTCATGGCGCTGAAGAAGATAGAATCTGACTCTGATCCCTGGAGGGCGCTTGAGACCTGACTGGAAGACTTGTCCTGCGTGCTGCTACTTGGCGCACTCTGGCCCACCTCTGGAGCCTGAGGTGGAGACGGCGCCACATCGATGTGGATAATCGTGGCGGTAACTTGGTCATTCTGGGCGAGTTGCATCACGAAGCGCAGCGCGAATCGATCATCGTCTCCACCAAAGAAAGGCAACACTATA